CTACCACTTGAGCCACAGCACCACTTCCAGCTTTTTTCTTTTTGCTTATGTGGTGCTGAGGAATCGAACACAGGGCCTCATGCATGCAAGGCAAGCGCTCTACCATTGAGCCACCTTCCCAGCCCCTCAAAGTTCTTTTCTCAAACTTTGATCCTTAGGATTAGCCTTTTAGGTAGCTAGGATTATCAGCTGTTAGACGCTTCCAGCCCTTGACTCCTGTTAATTTTGAGCAAGTCAATAACCTCTTTGAATTTATCACCTAACTTCAAATTGAGGATGAAACTTGTAATACCTCTTAACATTGATGAGATGAAATAAAATAATGAATGTGAACATGTTTTCTATTATTTTTTTTTTTGTCAGTTGTGGGCTTGAACTCTGGGCCTGGGCGCTGTCCCTCAGCTCTTCAACTCAAGGCTAGTACTCTACCACTTGAGCCACAGTGCCACTTCCATTTTTTGGGGGGGTTTATTGGAGATCAGAGTCTCATAGACTTTCTTGCTCAGGCTGGCTTTGAACCACAATCCTCAGATCTCAGCCTCCTGAGTAGGATTACAGGCTTGAGCCACCGGCACCTAGCTTATATTTTTATTTTTTAAAACTTCAAACTGATCTAACTAAGGTCCACAATTTTTATTACAAATTGTGTATATTTTACAGTTTGCAAAGCAGAGTGATTGTACCACATTATAACTTAGGTTAAGATTAAAGCTGATCTGACAAGCAGACTATTTCATAACAAAAAAAAATTTCTTAGGCCTTTTGACAACAGTTCTTTTCATCATAGAAATTTCATCATTGCAGCATCAATCAATATAAGTCATGCCATTTTTTAGGATTTTTTTGGTAAGGTTAACAAGGTGCATTTAATAAAGAGGAAGTAAAGGTGCTCAGAAGAGTAAGCAAGTGGGACCAGAAACCACCAGTTGTCCCCATTTTTCAGTTTTCAAAAGTGTTATAATACAAATACACTCCTATCAGCTAATACTCTAAACAAATTAAGTTTAAAGGGGGCAAATCTAAGACAAGAGGGACTATGGATAGCAGGAGAACTAAAAGAGACAATATATTTTTTCTCAACCACCCCAACATAGCCCCTTGAAATAAACCTGTTCAGATTCCATACCTGTTTTTGGCCGTGATGTAGGACAAGATATTTTGATTGAAGAACTTCAGGATCAAGGGGATGCAGTTGGCAAATACCAAATGTTGAGATACATATTCAAACTGAATCAACAGATCAAAGAAGTAGGGATGTTATTTGGGAGGGGGATGAAATTTATGTATTAAAAAGGGAGGGAAATACAAATCTAACATCTATTCCTAAGAACAGACATTGTCCATTTGTGTTATCAGACTTCCTCTGAATATTGGGGTATCTATCTTCAGTCAGTCCATCCTACATGGAGGGGGGCAATCTACAGTGTGTTGCAAACTCCTGCCCAAAAGCACTAAGCAAATAAGCCAGAAAGCAAAACACTCTGAATAACTAAAAGGAATTGCTGTGAGATTTGTTCCTAAGCTCAACAGGAAAGAAAGCCTCCCCGACAGAGCTGTTTTCCATACCAAACCTCTGGCTCATAATGTTAACTATGATTGATATAGCAGGGCAGGTGCAGCTTATTCCCAGCAACTGCCTGTGTCATTCAGTCAGGACAGAGACAGAACTTCTGCGATGTAGGCTCCAGCTCAGCCTGTCTGATATTCCTAGGACTTAGAATATCAGTATTTTTTTTCCTTTTTGTTGGTCGTGGGGCTTGAACTCTGGGCCTGGGCACTGTCCCTCAGCTCTTCAGCTCAAGGCGAGTGTTCTACCACTTGAGCCACAGCTCCACTTCCAGTTTTCTGGTGGTTTGTTGGAGAGTCTCACAAACTTTCTTGCCTAGGCTGGCTTTGCACCTCAATCCTCAGCTCTCAAGCCTCCTGAGTAACTAGGATTACAGCTGTGAGCCACTGGCGCCCAGCTAGAATATCAGTATTTTAATGAATGAATGAACAAGAGCCCTCTAGCCAACAGACACTGAGAAGCTCAAGATGTCTTTGATGAGATAAACATCACAACGTAGGGACTCCATTTAGCTCTCTTGAATTCCGGTGGCATTTGTGTCCAAGAAGACATATGGAGTAAGTGATCGCACAAGCAGTGTCATGAGGTTAGTCACTCTGGCTTTTGGTCATGATATACTGAAGAGCACCACAAAAAGTTTGTCCCAAATCTAGAAGCTAGAATGCTGGGACAGTACTGAAACAGGATTGAAAAGACAAGACATTGAGCTGGTTTAAATCCTCTAGCGCTGCACGATGAGCAAGTAGCAGCCATGGTAGCAAGCTGAGGTGCTCTTTGCCCCTGGAATAAATATGTGCTTAGAGGTGGGGAGTCAGCTTGTGCTATAACCACTTGTCTTTTCTGATCAATCTTTTCTGCCTAGAAATCAGAGGGAAAGCTTCCTCCCAGACAGGGGAGCCAACACACATAGACTATTATGACTGAAAACTTGATCTTCAGTTTGAGCCATGTCCAGTGTCTGACAAGACTCACCCACATACTGGGGCCCATGTGTCTAGCTATTGATCCACGTACTGCCCACCAACAGAAATATCTGTAAACACATCTTCACAGTTCTCTGTTCCTCTTTCCTCTGAGACTGCTGCTTCGGACCCACCTCTACTTTTCCTAACCCTGCTGCTGCTTAGCAAACACCAGCAGCTGTTTGAGAACCCACAACACCTACCACATTCAAAGATGTCTTTGAATATACTGAAGTGGAGACATACTCTAGATGTATATATAATGGTTTGCCTTTTTTTGGTCAGTTGTGGGCTACATGCTGTCCCTGAGCTGCTTTTGCTTAAGGCTAGCACTTTACCAATTGGAGCCACAGCTCTACGTCCACTCTAGTTATATAGAGTCATGGTCATAGACCCAACAGGGGCCTATCTGCACTCTGAGGACCTGCTCTTCTACTAGTAAGCTGAATTCTGACTTATTAGTAGGAAAATGGGCAAAGCTTCTAGCCAGGTATAAGAAGGTTTTCTCTTCTCTCTAGGCTCTTCCCTATATCTTGGGAATGCCCACCTGTGGGCAAGTCCAAAGTCCTTAGCCAAAGTGAACAATGCTTTCATAAGCAAGCCAAGTAGGGTTGACTCCCCCCCCTCTTCCTTTTCTCTCTCCCTCCATTCCTTCCTCCCCCCAGACCCCCTCTTACTTCCTTTCTCTCTTTCATTGTTTCTTTCGTTCTTTTTTGTCAGTCATGGGGCTTGAACTCTGGGCCTAGGTGCTGTCCTTCAGCTCTTCAGCTCAAGGCTCTTTCCTGCCCGGGCTGGCTTTGAACCACGATCCTCAGATCTCAGCCTCCCTAGTAGCTAGGATTATAGGCATGAGCCACCAGTGCCCAGCTGGTTATGACTTTTTAAAACCATGATTCCCTCATCAAAAAACAGGGATAAAATAAAACCTATTTGTAGAGTTAAGAAATTTTGGGGTTCCACCCAAGCTTAACAGGGTGCTCAATAATAGTGTACTATCATGTGTTAATATCAGCTCCCTGCCAACCTCTGTGGCTTCATGAATAACCAGGCCATCCTATCACTTTCACTCTAGGCAACATTTAATTAGTTTCCCAGAGTACTTTGCTCTCTCGCCTCTGGACTTTCACATATTAGCTTTTCTGCTTGAATGGCTTGTATCCTCCTTCCCAGACAACCCCCATATCCTGGCTAACATCTGCTTTTTCAGGAGTCACCTCTCTACCTTGGATTTGGTTAGGTATTTCCATGGTGGCTGATGCTTACCTGCAGCACAGAGCTTAGCAATCTACAATTGGATATTTATAACTCTATATCTGCTGTAAGACTTCAAGACTTTTAAGAGCTAAACTGCCTTATTCAGAATTAAGTCGCAACATGAGAAAAATGCTTCATATTCAGGTCAAGTATGGTCAATGTGTTCCTCCCCTCCCCTTTCTTTTTCTGGAGCATTTGAATTTTGACTTGCATTGCTTCGAATCTTACTGAGAAAATTCCTAAGAATTCTAGCTATAACCTTCAAAGGACACAGACACCTCTACCTTTCTAAACAGCTCCCTGAATTCCACTTCATAATCCCAACTGAAGCTTATGGAACAAGTAGCTGGATTCTCTTGAGTGAGGACAAAGAAAAGGCCAACAGATGCTCAGTGGGACTGTAAGGGCCTTTGTGTCGCCCCCAGGGTTTGAGGAGAAGCACCAGCTGCTTACCTGGTAGATATGGTTGAGTTTGAAGTGTTTGAGAAGCAGCAGGAGCAGGGAAGAGATGCTCTTTACAATGATCTCCTTGTGCCTATTAACATCGATGCCCAGCTTCATGCTCTGGAGAACAGTGACACTACAATGGAGAGAGGAAGCAGTAGTGTAGAGGGCAGTCTGGAAGAGAAATCTAGGGATTTGGGTCAGATACAATAAACACAAGAGAGGCAGTACTTGAGAAACCTGAACTTTTGGGGTTGGAGGTGTGGCTCAATTGGTAGAGTGCTAGCCAATGAATGAAAGTGTCAGGTACTGAGTTCAAGTTCATCTCAGACCCAGAAAACAAAGGGTAGGGGGAGAGAAACCTGAACTTCTAGGGAAATATATTGTAGGGAGTGCCCACTTACAAACCTGTCTGAAGAAAAGTTGCTGTCTTTTTGTCAAAGTTATCCCATGGCAATGTCTACCCACATACCCATCAACCAGTCACTGGCACTGAGCTCACCCTCCAGACCATCAGTTGGGAGCTACACAGAACAAACACTGTAGAGAACCCTGCAGGGAAAATGGAGTATTGGGAAAGGAGAGCTCTTTTCAGACTCCCTATGTTAGCAGGTGAGGTGGGACAGAAGCCCTGCAGACAGGGCACCAGCAGCCAGCAGCCCCAGTGGAAGCACTCACGGCATCTCTTCAGGCAGGACATCTGCCAGGATATTGATAGAGTCTGTCTTAGCCTTGGAGGTTGGGGCAGCAGCCAGCAGAATCTTAAGCAGAGCAATCTGGGAGGTAGAAAAGGAGGAAATGCACTTTGATCTATCCCACTCAGCAAGACAGTGATTCTTCCACATCTCACCAGCCCAACAAAATGCTTCAAAACTCTCCTCTAAATTCTACCTTCAGTGCCCAAACCTCCCCATCCTTCAAAAGTGCAAACAGGTACCAATCCTGAGGCCTGACTGTGGGGCTAAGGAGGAAGATGAGGGCTGGAGGGGGGGGGGAGGAGAGGGAGTCAGACTGTTTGGTTTCAGGACTGCTCTTTCCAAAGGGAAAAGATGGAGGAAGCAAAGTGGCAAGAGCAATGCACAGAAATAAGATGGGAGGAATAAGCCCAGTTTTCTCCCTTCTTTTCCTTCCACTAAATCTGACCATCAGCATCATCACTACTCCCACAGAAAGGCCGTATAGGATATGACAATGGCAGATCTCAGAAGGCCTCTGGTAGGAAGAGCCCCGCCCGCCCCCCCCATCCTTTATCAATCTCACCTTAATTCTCTACCCCCCCACAAAGAAGGGCTAGGGGAAATGGCATCTTCAGAGGAGCCATGAGGAAAGCTCAGAATCTGTGTCAGATTGTAATTGACCCAAGGGGCAAAGGCTCAGGAAATGAGTTCAAATGATGTGCTCTTAACTGTTCATTCCTTGCAGCAGAGAAGGGTCAGCCATTTCCTTACCATGTACTGGGGGAGGCTATACAGCATGCCCTGGTAGAGGATTTCACATGGCGTTTCTGGTACCACCTCTTCTCCCTATGGCAGGAAATATAGCTTGCCCAGGCTACTTGCCAGGTGGCCAAAGGCTACATTTTCTTGGTTGTGAGGAGTAGCATGTTAAAAGCACTTAGCAGGGAGTCAGACCTAGGATAGCAGCCTAGGTCTGACTCCCTGCTAAGTGCTTTTAACCTCCCCTCTCTGAGTCCCAATTTCCTCTTTAATAGGATCAGTGGATTGATCTGGATGACCTGCAGCTTCTTTAAGCCAATTATATATGATTTTGCTTTTCCTATTATCTGCAGTTAATCTATATTTGTGTGTGTTTGTGTGACTGTGTGCTAGTCCTGGGGTTTGAATTCAGAGCCTGAGCACTGTCTATGAGCTTTTTTGCTCTGTACTTTTTTTTTTTTTTGGTCAGTCGTGGGGCTTGAACTCTGGGCCTGGGCGCTGTCCCTCAGCTCTTCAGCTCAAGGCTAACGCTCTACCACTTGAGCCACAGTGCCACTTCCGGCTTTTTTCTTTATGTGGTGCTGAGGAATCGAACCCAGGGCCTCAGGCATGCAAGGCAAGCGCTCTGCCACTGAGCCACCTTCCCAGCCCCCTGTTTTTGTTTTTTAATCTCAGATCTTTAAGTGTCATCTCCTCAGAGATGACTGCCAATCTAAAGTAGTCAATCAACTGACTGAAGAGTGGTGTAAGTGGTAGGACACTTGCCTAGCAAGCAGAGGACTTGAGTTCAAATCACAGTACAGCTAAAAAGTTAGAAAATAAAATTTCATATTAAAAAATAATAGGTTTAGGGGCTAAGAAAAAAGCCGGAAGTGGCACTGTGGCTCAAGTGGTAGAGCGCTAGCCTTGAGCTGAAGAGCTAAGGGACAGCGCCCAGGCCCAGAGTTCAGCCCCAATGACTGATAAAAAAAAAAAAAAAGTCTAGGCTGGCATAGATGGCTCATGCTTGTAATCCTAGCTACTCAGGAGGCTGAGATTTGAGGATCGTGGTTCAAAGCCAGCCCTGGCAGGAAAGTCTGTGAGACTCTTATCTCCAATTACCCACCAGAAAACCAGAAGTGGTGCTGTGGTTCAAGTGGTATAGTGTTAGCCTTGAGGTATAGTGCTAGCCTTGAGCACAAAAACTCAGAGACAGTGTCCAGGTCCTGACTTCAAGCCCCACAACCAACAAAAGAAAAAAAAAGTCTCATGGACATTCCTGCCCAGTTTGGCTTCAAAGCACAATTCTGAGATATTCAGATATTAGCTTCCTGAGTAGCAAGGATTACAGGTGTGAGCCGTCAGCACCCAGCTTTCTCCCCCAACTTTAACACAGCATGAAAGCAGGGCCGTGACACACAGGACGAGCCCAGCAAACCGACTCAGTGCATGTATATACACTGTGACAGCGCTGCAGTTCCTCTTCCCTCCTGCGCAGGACCCCTTGGCTCACCAAAGACATAGGGCATTTTTCCAGCTCCTCTTCATTCTTGATCTGCACATCTGCAATGGAGATATACTTGTGCTGGCAAAGATAAGAAGACATTAACAAGAACTGAGGATTTCAATCACAAGTTTCCAAGTCTCTCACTGACAAGGAAGTGTTTTTCAATGTGTCTGTCACCCTAGCAGACATAAAATCTTGAAAGTAGGAGCCTTATTTGCCATTGTATCATCAGTTCTGTACTTTGCAGTGTTTTCATATTTATTGAGTAGCAGAAAATACGTAAGCATTTACCTTCAAACAAAGTACAAGGGGAAATGAAGGACAGACCTTTGTCCCCAGACCTCTGCCTTGAGTTTTGATGTGTGTATGTATGTGTACGGAGTGGTGACTCCCACACTCTGTGCTCACACACACAACGGAGGTAGGGCAGACTCTTTCCCAGTCCTGGGCTTTTGGAAGTTAGTGTATCTATGGGAAAGAGAAGTAAAAGGAAAGGCAGCAAGGAGTGGGAAGAGAGAGAAAAAGGCAGAAAGAGGGAAAAAGAATAGGAAGAAAGGAAAAAATTCATCCATCTGAATGTAGAAAGCTGGTAAGGAGAAGGAGATCTGAGTTTTCTTAACTCAGGCCTGCAGGGGAGATGAAGGTGCCCCAATACCCAATCTCCTGCTAATCTAATTTGCCTTAATGGCTCACTATGCCCAAAACCTGAAATTCCACACTGGTTACCTGCTTTAGGGTCTTCACACTCTCATGGATGGGTCTAGGTAATCCAACCAAGGTATCTGTGTCCCTGTGAAAGGCAAGAAGCATCAGATCATAAGCTTCAAAACAAACAGTTTGGGGATATAGCTCAGTGGTAGATCACTTACTTAGCATGCATAAGGCCCTGGATTCAATCTCTAGCACTAACAAAGAGAGAAAATTATCCATATACCCTAGAGTTAGAAGGACTATGCTTCTTTAGCATTTACTTCTCCTCATACCCTGAACCATCCTTTGCAAGGTTTTAGGTCCCCCCTCTTTCCTTAGGACATAGAAAATAACAATGAAGTACTGGTGGCTCACACCTGTAATCCTAGCTATTCAGAAGGCTGAGATCTGAGGATTTTGATTCTAAGCTGGCACAGGGAGAAAAGTCGGTGAGACTCATCTCCAATTAACCACCAAAAAAGCCAGAAATGAGCCAGGCGCCGGTGGCTCACACCTGTAATCCTAGCTACTCAGGAGGCTGAGATCTGAGGATCTCGGTTCAAAGCCAACCCGGGCAGGAAAGTTCGTGAGACTCTTATCTCCAATAAACACGCTAGAAAACTGGAAGTGGTGCTGTGGCTCAAGTGGTAGAGTGCTCGCCTTGAGCTGAAGCGCACAAGGACAGTGCCCAAGCCCAGAGTTCAAGCCCCATGACCGACAAAAAAAAAAAAAGGCCAGAAATGGAGCTGTGGTTCAAGTGGTCGAATGTTGGTCTTGAGGAAAAAAGCTCAGGGACAACACCAAGGTCCTGGTTTCAAGCTCCAGGACCAGCACAATCGATCAATCAATCAATCAATATAACAATGATATGGATGCATTTCTGGAAATTAGGAAATGCATATAATGTCTGAGGATTCACTTGACTCACTTGGTGTGGAAATGAGACCTTCCTACTTAAAGGGATATGTAGCCCAATAGCACTTTTGAAGGTAAAATCCCAGTAATAAAGCCTGCTAGATTCTATAAAGAAAGACCAGTGGGAAGGATTCCTGAGGGTACCCTCCTAGGAACCACTTTATAGCGAGTGTTAGCCATCCAATCACTTACTGCCCCAGGGTGAATCCAATGAACTTGTTCCTGCTCATCTCCAAGAAGTGCTCAATGTCCTTCTGTCTGAGAAGACAGTGGAGAGACCAATTCCAGAGAAGGGAAGAAAAGCAAACCTTTAGAGAGAGAACGTTTCAGGGCTCCTGTCACTTGAATCTGAGGGCTGAAGCAGTAGGGGAAGACAGCATACAATAGATAGGGATTCAAACACAGTAGTTCTGTCGGACCAGCTTAATAAACATTGAATACACAGATTACTTCACCCTGAACCTTTGATGATTGAATCGAGCTTGGGGAACCTAGTGCTATTATGCCTACCTGACCTTTGGGGCCCAAGGCAGGCCTTTGGGAAAGGTTACTCGCTCTGAAGACAGAGGTGCCTGTGAGGGTGGAGGTGGCACCAGAGGGTCTTGTTCTAGCAGGTCTAATTCTCCATCCAAGGTTCGTTCTCCATCGCCAGTAGAATCCTCTTCCTCTTCTGTGGCTGGCTCCTCAGTCTTGAAGAGATCTCGTTCATTGTAGATGTCCAGGCTGTCCTGCTTAGTGAGGAGTTGCTGGGAGAAGAAAGTATGCAGAGGTATCTTGAGCATCCTCATCTGAAGCCATTCCCTATCCACAGACTTCTGGCCTTCAGGAAACATGGAGATGGAACCCAACGCCTGTGAGAACATCCCATTTCCCATCTCACTCTTATAGCCCATGGGCTGAATCCTAGATAACTATGCTACTGGGGACAGAGCACAGATAATCTCAAAGTCATGATTACTTAGCTTTCAGAAAATACTGATGCTTTCTTTTCTTTTCTTTCTCTGCTTCAGCACTTTCCTTCCTAATTAGGATCTGCTTAGGTGAACATTCCATTAGTTTGCCTTCTGTGAGCATACACCAGCTGGCTGGCTGAGGAAGAGGATGACAGAAGCTTGCTGCTAGGCAGAGGGAATCAAGTTTGGAATTTTAAATCTTATTGTGGGAAGAAAAAAAGATTGGACAGAAATAGGCCAAAAAGTTTACAGTCACAGCATCTGGTTGTTAAGATTGTGGGTGATTTTTCTTTTCTCCCTTCATCACATTTTTATATTTGTTCCACATTTTCTACAGTGAGTAAGCATCACTGTATAAAACAAAAACTAAAAGTTAAAATGGAGATGGAATTACCACACATGACTGTCTGGCCCTGACTCTATCAGTTGGTAAACTTAAGTAAGTCAGGCAAGGTGAGTCATGAGAGCATGGCTGGGTCTCAATGTAACTTGTTTTGACCTTTTTAGGAATCTATACCTACAACCCTAACCAGTGATCTCTCAAAGGTAAACTTGTATAGCTAGCTCCCAGTAAATCCCATGCTGTCAAGAAAATAGTAAAGTTAACTTATCCTAGGCATATGATCTGTGAGGAGACCTATGGCCAGGATTTTACCCTAACTGATTTTTAGGGTGCTAAAGAATCACAGTCACGGAGGTGCAAGCTAATGATTCTGAAGCAAGATACGGCTATATAATATGTTATCACCTAGCTCCATCAGGACAATGGAAGAATATGTAAGAGATAGGGGACAAAAGTCAAAATACAGACTCTAAACTTTCACGTTGGTCACAGGGCCAACCTGGGGCATCATGGGTCAGGTCACTTACTATCTCATTCTACCACAAAGTCTGGAAGTTTGGTTAGTCAGTATCCCTACAATACTGTCTGTTTTAGTTCATACCCTTCGAGAGCCACGTCGGCCTCGCAGCTTGGAGGGTGGTGGTGCCAGCTGAGACTCCCCAAGGTCAAGAGTGTAAGAGGGCGGGGAGGCAGCACGCATGCTCTTCACCACCTGGATACTGTCCTCAGCCAGTGGAGGGAGGCCCAGTTCTGCCCGCTTCTGTATTTTGAGAGCCTGAAGATGCTCAAATCCACCAAGGGTAAACTAAAGAGTAAAAACGAAAGGGGCAGAGAAAAGAGAAGAAAGGAAGGAAAGTTAGGGCTAGAAATATCACCAGAAGTTAGAAAAGGGACTTTTGGAGGCCTCCACTAAACACCACCACCACCACCAAAACTATGCTTTTATTTTCTTTTTCTTTCTTTTTTTTTTTAGTTAGGTCTGTGTGTAGCCTAGGCTAGTCAAGACTCATGATTTTCCTGCCTCTGCCTACTAAATGCTAGGATTATAGGTGTATGCTACTATGCCTGGCACCATGTCCCTTCTGTGGAAAACTTTTAACTGCTATGGCCACTCTGTAGTTCAGGCAATACCCTCTTTGAGGCCCTCTACAAGGTGTGTTGTTTAGCCAGCACTGTGGGGGATGGGAACCAAACCTGTGGAATGGGATCCAGAGATAAGAGCCACAGGGGGCTTTGGAATGAAGGATCAGATTGAATAAGTAACAAATTGCAAAAAAAAAATCCTCTATCTGGAAGGAGGGCAGGCACTAAGCCCACTATATAGCTAGAGAAACTGAGGCACAGAATCGTCCATAGTTTATCAAAATCAGCAGAGATAGATCTCCCAACTTTTAGCCAGCGTTCTACCACCAGCTTTATCAGGGGCAAGTTCCACTGACACCACTAATTCACAGAGCAACATCTCCCATCCACTTGACAGGAACAAAAACTGGCTCTGACACAGGACATCTGATTTCTCTACAGCAACTTTCTTGCCCTTCTCTCTTAATTAGTGGCCAACACATGTCCCATTCTTCTGCCTAGCTCCCAGTCTTAAGCAGACTAGAAGAATCAGAGTGGGAGGATTGCTGAACTGATGAGAATAGGGAGGATCTGCCACTCACCATGACCACCTTCCAGAGCAGAAGCAGAACCTTCTTTATGGGAAAGTGGGGGGCCAAGCCACTACAGAACTTGGTAACCATGGAGAAGAGCAAAAGGGCAAAAGGCTCTTCATTATGCATGGAGAAGCCTGGAGGTATAAAGAGAAGTGAGTGAGAAAAAGAGGATTCAATAGCTGAGATTCTGATCTCTATACCTGACTCTGGACATAGTGAGGGGAGCACTCACCTCCCCTGAACTATTTGAGTAGTCTTGGTAAAAGATACCCTACAGAGAATACTCAAGTGCAGGGGAAGGCTGGAGGTAAAATAGCTTGGCCCCAAAGTTTAGGGCAATGCTTTGGGGCATCAGCGCCAAACTAGAAATACCAGGAAGGACTATGTTTCTCACTGGCTGAAGACCAAGGTATGTCTTAGACTATACTTCACAGTACATTTTTTATATCCTTCACATCCTATACATTTGGATGACCCCACTAACTTATATTTGAGCTCAGGTTTTAAGGTAATTTAATTCATTTGTTCATGTGGGATTCATGATGGAAAGTGAGAGAGATGTCTATCCCCATTTCTAACTGAGAAAACGAAGGCATGGAGCAGTTATATCCTATAACTCAGAGACACGGGGGACGACCAGGCTTAGACCTGGTGCTTACCATACAGTATCTCAGCCCTAAAAATTAAAAACAAAACAAAAAGCATATTAATTTCAAAAAGAAAAAGGAAAGAAAATAGGACTCTCTTCCTTTTCCTGGCAGATGCTCTGCTTCTCTTGCTCCATCAGCACCCCCATCCCCACCCCTCCCCAAATGCCACTGCTTACTCAATTCTGTACGGAAAGTCTCTCGAGCTGTTCTCCACCCACAGGGGTCTATCTCTCGCTCCAGGCGGATATTTTCCACCATTAGGTACATGACACTCAGCAGCACCCTGGGGTGACAGAAGGGTGACAGAAGGTTTTCAAGGCAGTTCCCAGCCTGTAGTCAGAGACTTTAAGGATGATCTCAGAGAGATTAGCCAGAGAACTTTCCATAGTTTCACTCACCGGAGCTCTGTGCTATCAGCAATGGAGACAGCTGGTTTCCGAAGTGTACTGCTACCAGCCTGGCTGTTGCTGCCATGAAGAGGGATAAAACAGAACCCTTAAGGCCTCTTTCCTACCTACGCTTCCAGTTACCATACGTACACACACAAACACCAGCCGTCACCTGGACATACAACCCCCAATGAAACTGATAGAATGTAAAGGAGTCCTTAGAATTCCCTGGCTATTTTAGCAAACCTTTATCCAAGGAGAAGACAGACAAGGTTTGTGATAGCCATTTCTTCCCCCACCCCCACCTTGAAATCAGGAGTCTTTATTAAACAACTTGACTGCAGGTGGGCTCAAGTCCCAAAGTACCTGCAGCCACAAATGCAGCTAGCACAAAGCTTATAAAGGCAAAAACCACGATTCAGCTGGGGAACTAAACCTAGCAAAAGTGTTATGCACAAGCTAGGTGGAGTCAATCAGGGGCTTACAGCAAGAACCCATTCCTCTTACGACTTGTACTAAGCCTAGTACTGTGTTGGACACAGTTGCTCTTTGGTCATGTATATGAAGGAAGAATAATTTTGTTCATGAATTCCAAAGCCAAGTTGAGAAGATACTTGTTGAAGTGGCACTGTGGCTCAAATGGTAGAGAGCTCGCCTTGAGCTGAGGAGCTGAGGGATAGCGCCCAAGCCCAGAGTTCAAGCCCCACAACCAAACCCCCCAAAAAAAGAACCAAAAGTAAAGATGATGATAATAAGAAGAATGACAATATCTTGTAAAAATCCATTACCCTAAATCAATGAAGATACTTGCTTAAAAAGGGACCCCAGTGGGGCCTGTAATCCTACTCAGGAGGCTGAGATCTGAGGATCGTGGTTCAATGCCAGCCTGATCAGGAAAGTCCATGAGACTCTCATCTCCAATAAACCACTAGAAAACCAGAAGTGGCGCTGTGCTCAAGTGGTAGAGCGTTTGCCTTGAGCTGAAATGCTCAGGGACAGCGCCCAAGCCCAGAGTTCAAGCCCCATGACCAAAAAAAAAAGGACCCCAACCAGGCTAGTGGCTCATGCCTGTTACCCCAGGTACTCAAGAGGCTCTGATATCTGAGAATAGTGGTTTGAAGCTAGCCCGGGCAGGAAAAGCTGTGACAGTCTTATCTCCAACAAACTACACAGGTAAAACTGGAGTGCTAGCCTTCAGAAAAAGAAGCTCAGGGACAGTGCCCAGGCCCTGAGTTCAAGCCCCAGGACTGGTGTGCACGCACACACACATACACAAACACACACACACACACAAAGGGGACCCCAACCAGGACAGGCCCCTGAAGCAGAGACGGCAGGGCAGAAGCTGCTGCTAAGCTCAGTCTCAGAGAGTTAATACACAGTATCAGGAACCATGGCTGAATGGAAGGGACCTGTTAGTGAGCTTTGAACAGAGATGAGTAAGTCCCTGTTTCAATAGGGCTCTTTACTAAGGAAGCAGGCATAAGAAATGACTTCCATCCCTTCAAGGAAGAGTTCTATCTAGGGACAGTTCTCCCCGCAAAGATTCTCACTCAATTTCCATGTGGAGTAGCTCCAGGAAGATAGAGAAGGTTCCCATCTGGTAGAGCAGGAAGCAGTTGTACCTGGACCAGTGTAGCACATCAACTTCTGAATCACATTCTCCAAAAGTACCTAAAGAACCAAATAATTAGCTGGGCGCCAGTGGTCACTCCTGTAATCCTAGCTATTCAGGAGGCTGAGATCTGAGGATCTCAATTCAAAGCCAGCCCAAGCAGGAACATCCATGAGACTCTTTTTTTTTTTTAGTCAGTCATGGGGCTTGAACTCTGGGCCTGGGCCCTGTCCCTCAGCTCTTCAGCTCAAGGCGAGCGCTCTACCACTTGGGCTACAGCACCACTTCCGGTTTTCTGGTGGTTTTTATTGGAGATAGGAGTCTCACGGTCTCTCCTGCCCGGGCTGGCTTTGAACCACGATCCTCAGATCTCAGCCTCCTGAGTAGTTAGGATTACAGGTGTGAGCCACCAGCACCCGGCCCATGAGACTCTTATTTCCACTTAACAACCAGAAAACGGGTGCTGCGGCTGAAGTGGTAAAGCACTAACTCTGAGCTGAAGAGCTCAGGGACAGTACCCAGGCACAGAGTTCAAGCCCCACAACTGACACACACAAAAAAAAGAACCAGAAAATTGTCACAGGCATTGAGGAGAGGCAGGCCTTTTTCAGTGATTTCCCTACTACTCCATGATGGTAAGATCCTCTCCTAACACCCTGCTCCATAATTAGGCTGATAGAGGGGGAAGAGCCCCGAGAACTGAGTCAGGGAAGAGGAGATGTATTGTAGTCTCCAGGGTTAGGTCCAATGTATTCTTCAATGGCCTGTCTTAAGTTTGTATCACCTAGAAGCAGATAATAAGATAAGTAGGAATTCAAGTATAAGTAATTTATTTGGAAATATCAATAGAAAAGCAGGGATCTGAGAAAGGGAAGAGAAGGCATCCAGAAGAGTTCAATCTCAGGGAAAGATCTGGACACAGTATAAAATATCCAAGATGAGTGAGGTCATCAGGCTATTCCATTCACTTCTGTCAGCCATTTTATGAATACTGAAAATATTTATTCCCGGGCTGGGAAGGTGGCTCAGTGGTAGAGCGCTTGCCTTGCATGCCTGAGGCCCTGGGTTGGATTCCTCAGCACTACATAAGCAGGGGAAAAAAAAAGCCGGAAGTGGCGCTGTGGCTCAAGTGGTAGAGCGCTAGCCTTGAGCTGAAGAGCTGAGGGACAGCGCCCAGGCCCAGAGTTCAAGACCCACGACCGGACCCCCCCCAAAAAAAATTATTCCCTATAGTCCCTGACTACTGTGTGTGCTGCAGGGCAAACCCTCAGGAAGAAAGACCTTCACACTAGCTGCTGGAAGGTGGTCAGAACAACTAGACTCAAGAAATACCAGTTGCTGTCCTTTCACCAAATGTCTACTGCCTTTCCTATTTATTTATTTTTCTTATTCAATATTTTAGCTTCTAATTTGTTGCTTTGATCACCATCCTCATTTTCATTATTTCAGGGCTTATTTTCACTAGTCTTGCTAGGCTATTTCATTCCCCTTTCAAACCCCTGGCTAATAGGTTTCTTCTGGGAAGCTTTTTCCAATTAATCTCATTTAGCTCTGATTATCACACTATTATTCACAACATCCCCTCCTGGTGCTATTTGGGCTTGAACCTTCAAAACCATGCGGAGGATTTATGCATGAGTGTGACACACCTGGCTCCCACTCAGTATTTAGTATAGGCCACCGAGGATTAAAAAAACAAAATCTCCAGGCTCAGCCAGAGGTACACTGACAGTTCTGGCCACACTGACTCTCTTGCTAATCTTTATAGACATTTACTGCCCAGGTTAGATGGAAAAAGAACCCTATGAGAAATTCCAACATGCCTGATAAGATGAAGGCATTTATAAAATGGTAACTCCTTGGGGGGGGGGGAGGAGGGAAGAGGGTCAGAAGGGAAAAAGTAGGAGAAAATGAAGGAGGAAGTAACAATGTTCAAAAAGAAATGTATTCATTGCCTGACTTATGTAACTGTAATCCCTCTGTACATCACCATTGCAATAAAATTTAAATAAAAAAGAAAATGGTAACTCCTCTGTTCAACACCTTAATAACAATTAAATAAAACATACAAAAAAAGAAATAAAGATAAAGGCAGATCTCAAGGGATCAAGTATCAAACAAGTATCTTTTTATCTTCCTCATAAGGGTGACTTCTAGCACATGAGAACACCTGCCCTTAAGAGGAGGGGGGGCCTGGGAAGGTGGCTCAGTGGTAGAGCGCTTGCCTTGCATGCTCGAGGCCCTGGGTTTGATTCCTCAGCACCACATAAGCAAAAAGAAAAAAGCCGGAAGTGGCGCTGTGGCTCAAGTGGTAGAGCGCTAGCCTTGAGCTGAAGAGCTGAGGGACAGCGCCCAGGCCCAGAGTTCAGGCCCCACGACGGGACCCAAAAAAAAAAAAAAGAGGAGGAGGGCCTTGTTTTCCCAACACAGCCCCATCCCCCTTCCCTCTCCAGATAGGAAGAGTAGGCACTCACCTTGGGCTAGGTAGAGAACAGCACGGGACACCTTAAGCCGCTGCTCCCTACTGACCACTTCCAGCCTGTCCAGAAGTCCCATCACATAGGTCTTTTGGGCATCTTCTTCCAATTCCAACCATTCCTTGCCTTGTACTAGGGATAGAAAACCATATATGGTACATATATATGTATGTATATATATACATATACATGTACACATATTATATATTTATCCAAGGTTGACTAATATCACTTCTTCCCAGAAATGAATCTATAGTATACCCACCTTTAATCTCAGCCACCAACAAAGTCTTCTCTTCAAAAGATTTCCTTTTATAAAAAAAATTATTTTTCTACGCTGAGAATCAAACACAAGGCCTCACATATGGTACACAAGTGTGCTATCATCAACCCACATCCCTAGTCCAGAGCTTTCCTTATTTAGAATAAGGGATAGGGAAAGGGCCCAAAATGTTCTGGCCTGAACCCTCTCTGTAGCCTCACCTTTGACATCCCCTCTTGCCTTCCACACACAGAGCCTGATTTGCCCAGTGTCTTTGCCTTTCCTGAGGGATTTCCCCGTCTCTATCATATCCAACTGGTAGCTGTCCTTATATGCCTGATACCAGGTGACCCCTTTCACATGAATGCCCTAGTCAAAAGCTTTGCTCCCAACAAACTATCTTTATTTTCTAGGACACAGCATTTTCTTCTTCACCTCAGCCAGTTTTATGATGTGCATTTCTCCCCTCTGCTACCAGATTATATAATCTCTTTGTAAAAGCGGCAATTACCCTCACCCCTGCTTCTTGCATTTCCGATACAACAGACATCTACTGAATTGAAAATTGAATGGCAATTGACCAAGTTTTTAAAAACATACCAGAGAGCTGAGGTTATTTCAGTGTTATTGAGAGTGAGGCAGAGTTGGAGGCAGCAGTTAAGCATTGATGTCAAGGACTAGGCTAGGCCCAGGTTTCCATCAGGCAGCAGGGCACTCGTCCAGCTTTACACCACCATCCACTCTCCTGTACTTTCTACCAGAGCAAAGACCCTAGCTAGGGCTTCTCTTGTTTCCATCATGGCTTCTACGCTTGAGATAAACTGTGCCCCAGAAGCAAGAAGTGAAGGGTGGACAGCAGGGAAAGGATGAAGAATCATACTTGTTTTAGTCTTTTACTGGGATATCAAGGAGGGGAAAGCATGTGTCTGTGAGTAATGGTCTGAAGATCACCTTGAGTCTTGAAATCTTCTTCAAAGCACCTCTTGTTAGTGGTGAATTCCGGGTTCTCAGTGTAGCTATACAATTCTGTGGCAGGAAAGAGAACAGAAGCACGTTCAGGAGACCCATAAGAAGGGAGTTTAGAGTAGAAGGATGGCATGAAACTGCTGAAGCTTCCAAAACATTCCACTGTCCGGTTCAATCCAGAGCCAGCTTCCTCTCTTTCAGAGCAGTTAAAAATAGCTACTTGTGTCCCTGGGTGATTAAACCATCAAACCTGTTCTCCTCTTGCCAGCTGGCTGCCGCAGCCGAAAAGACAGCCTTTGACATTTGTGAGGGCAAGAGGGCTGGAGCACAGGGGTCTTAATGTCATCACTTCTGTGTTTTTAGGATTGCAACGAATGCTTGCTTTGTCAAGCCCAGCTGAAACTACTCTATATCCTATATCTAGGGAAGATGAAGACAACACAACTCCTTGAATTTAGAGCCAAGATCCCTATGCTGTTCAAGAAGCTGGACAAGGGCTGAAAAAAATACATGCTAGGTTGCTTTGCAGAATTGGGGCCAATTCATTTTCTCCCTGATGAAATTCCTTGAAGGGTGTCGAAGTTTAGGCTGCTGCATACTGCCACCTGGGCAGAGGCAGCAATGAACCACATAGAAAGCAGCTATGGCTGCCAAAGGACTTTTTGTATCCTGGAAAATCTAACTTCTTTGACTATAGACTCTAAATACAAAACTGAGACTAAAACTGTCCTCTTCAATCTGCAAAATTCATCTTACAAAATTCATCATGCAAAAGATGAAGTATTAAAACCAGAAAGTTCCCAGGTGCTGGTGGCTCATGCCTGTAATCCTAGCTACTCAGAAGGCTGAGATCTGAGGATCGCGGTTCAAAACCAGCCCGGGCAGGAAAGTCTGTGAGACTCTTATCTCCAATTAACCACTAGAAAAACCAGAAATGGCGCTGTGGCTCAAGTGGTAGAGCATTCATCTTGAGCTGAAGAGCTGAGGGACAGCGCCCAGGCCCAGAGTTCAAGCCCCACGACCACCACCACCACTACCACCACCAACAAAATCAGAGAGCCAAGAAGTGATAGAACAGACAGATTATTACAAAATCGATTCCTCCTAAACCAGAGATAATTGACAAAGCAAGTGAAACTCATTCATGTTACAGCCAGCAGTAGAATGGTTGGATAATACTTTGTGTGAGAGCCAGAGCTTTGAGTCTTAAGTTCCAAAATTTGGGAATAACCACAAACAAATCCATTTTTGCATCTTGAATACTTCAGCCATTAGTGGAAATGTGAAAAAATATATGTAATTTTATGATCAGAGCATCACAAATCCAGTCAGAATAGTGAGCATGAAATGGTGCTGAGCTTTGGCTTTGTTCTTTTTGATTTTAGATAATAAAATCTCATATGCATATAGGTACAGAATACAAAATAGATACCTTTTATCCAGATTAAACAAATATTAACTTATGTCATATTTGCTTCAGACTATTCCCCGGTCATTTTTCCGCCCCTGGAGGTAACTACTATCATGAAATTGGAACATATCCACCCCAAGTTCATTTTTATACTTTTCCTACATATGATGTGCCTGTAAACCACACAAATTGTTCTGTTTTAAATGTTTTTAGCTGGGCGCTGATGGCTCACACCTGTAATCCTACCTACTCAGGAGGCTGAGATCTGGGGATCGAGGTTCAAAGCCAGCCTGGGCAGGAAAGACCGTGAGACTCCTATCTCCAATAAACCACTAGAAAACTGGAAGTGGCGCTGTAGCTCAAGTGATAGAGCACTGGCCTTGAGCTGAAGAGCTGAAGGACAGCACCCAGGCTCAGAGTTCAAGCCCTATGACTGACAAAAAAATAAAAATAAATGTTTTTAATCTCGTCTGGGTGCCAAGATTATAGCCAGTGGCTCATGCTTGTAGTCCTAGCCACTCAAGAGGTGGAGATATGGAGCAAGGTTTGCAGCCAGCCCAGGTAGAAAAGTCCATGAAACTCTAATTAACTAGAAAAAAAAGCCAGAAGTAGAGGTATGCCGCAAATATTAGAGTGCCAACCATAAGTGTAAAAGCCAAGTGAGTATGTGAGCACACATGGGCACACACACAGGGTTTTAATTTTTTATTTTTTGTCAGTTGTGGGGCTTGAACTCAGAGCCACGGAGCCGTCCTTGAGCTTTTAAAAACACTCAACGGTAGCACTCTACCACTTTGAGCCACAGCACCACTTGCAGTTTTCTGGTGGTTGCAGATAAGAGTCTCACTGACTTTCCTGCCTGAGGACTGGCTTTAAACTGTGATCCTCACATCTCAGCCTCCGGAGTAGCTAGGATTACAGGTGTGAGCCACCAGCTCCCAGCTTGAATTTTTAATTTTAATAGTATCATACTGTAGAAGTTCTTTGGTCACTTCTATTTCAGGAATTTACTGATGCTAAAACATGTTTATGTAAACTAATTACATTCATGTCTATATTTTTGACTCTTACAGTGATATGCAAGTTTATTCATTCTCCTGAAGAGGACATTTTAAATTGTTTTCAACTGTTCACAATTATAAACAAAGTTATGATAACAAACATCATTGTACATATTATTGTTCCCTAGTATAAGGCTATTTAGGGTAGATTTTCTGGGTCTTATATGTACACATCTTCAACTTTATTAGATATGACCTAACTGCTTTCCAATTTTATACTGTGTTCCCCTGACTGCTATACATAGCAGAGCAGAAAAGCTCTCATCAGGCTTTTAATTTCTATAATCAAATGACTGTGGAATCACATCTTATTGTTTTAATATGCTTTTCTCCATCAATAATGAAGTTAGACATTTACTTATTTATATGTATTTATTATATTTTATTTATTTATGGACTGTTCAGTTTTCATCTTCTATGAATTCATGCTTATATTCTTTGTCTACTTCTCTAGTGGGTTGCTCAACTCTTTATCCCTCTCTCTCTTTACATTTATTCATATTCTGGATTCTAGTCCTTTGTTCCTTTTTAAACTTAGCTCACTATTTTTCTGTCACTCATCACAAAATTTATTCCCCAAGCTTATTCACAAGAACTTCTTTTGAAATGTTTTTCTCTGAAAAAGCATGTTTCAAAGTATTATTTTCCTATGACAGAATAGTTAACTTTCACACCATCTCCAACCAAAGCTCATTTATTAATAACTAGCATCATTGCACGTGTAACACAGAAGCCCTTAATGTGAGGAGATCACATTTACCCTAAGCTAAAATTCCAGTCAGAGAAAAGCAGCCCAGAACTAAAAGAACAGGATCACCTAACTCCATCTCCCAGCTGTCCAAAGCAGAACTCCACTCTGATGGTTGCATGTGACATATCCAGCCTTGCTTGGCTAGACGTTGTCTAGTTCTCCTCAGCTATTGCTTAGAATTTAATAGGGAACAGGTGTTATGGGAAGAGGGAAAGATGAACGTAGAGGAGACTCAGGGAAGGGGGGTGGAGATAAAGACAGCAGGGCAGAAAGAATGGATATATAGGGCTGGGAAGTTGGCTCAGTGGTAGAGCGCTTGTCTTGCATGCATGAGGCCCTGGGTTCGATTCCTCAGAACCACATAAGCAGAAAAAAAAAGCCAGAAGTGGCGCTGTGGCTCAAGTGGTAGAGCGCTAGCCTTGAGCTGAAGAGCTGAGGAACAGTGCCCAAGCCCAGAGTTCAGGCCCATGACCGGACCCAAAAAAACCAGAAAGAATGGATATATAAAGGTATGGAAGAGAAACAAGTATTGGGGACAAAGTGGACAGAAAAATGATTTGAGGGTACACCAAAAGTAAAGAAGGAGGAGCAGGATAAAGTGACAGAATAAAAGAATAAATACCATGGACAAGGATAATTCACAGAAGGAGATGTGAAAGTAAGCAAAGAGCTGTTTACCATTGCAGAGGACAAAAAAAAAGAAAGCAGCAATAGCTTTTGTTCAAAAGACCACAGAGCCTTTAGGGGAGACACAGACACCCGCCCCACCCCTCCCGGATTCTTCCACTCACTACTGAGCCATCTACTTCAGCATACCTGATAACTCCGCTGCATGGCCATCTGCATCTCCATACTCAAATTCCAGAGTTGGGCAGTCCACAGAGCCCTGTAATAGAGACATTTCTCAGGAGTTGCCAAGGAAGATTATACCCTTATTTCACCTTCTTTCCCTATTTGAGGCCAAGGTTAGATCAGCAAGGCAGTAGAATTCTCATTTGGCTCTTTCATCTGGCAAGTACCCTCCCAGCTTTTGAGGGTGTAACTAGGTAGGGTACCATTCCAACCTGGGGGAGCGAGTTCACATTAAACTTCTGATTGAGTTCAGTCAAGTGTTCAAATTGTTCAATCATGCCTATGTAATGAAATGCCATACAAACTCCCTAAAACAAGGACTTAGGCAACCTTTGGGTTTGTGAGCAAATGGATGTGCCAGGAGAGGGACACCCTTGCATAAGGCATGGAAGCTCAGCACCACTCAGGCCCTGTCCCTTGTCCTATGAATCTTCTCCATTTGGCTGATACTCAATTATTCCTTTAGTTAAGAAACTATAATCTTAATTCCATGCATTCCATAAAATCCATGAGTCATCCTAGCAAATTATCAAACCTGAAAGCTGGTCATGATAACCCAGGAATCTGTAGCTGGCTAGGTAGAAACGCGGGACAGTCTATATTTGTAGCTAGCATCTAAGGTGGGGGTAGTTGTGTGAGACTGTGCACTTAACTTCCGGGTATGCATTGGTGTGCACTAACTCTGGAAGTGTCAGAATTGGATTGAGCCACAGAACACATACCATTTGATATCTGAAAAATGGTGTGCAGATAAATTCCTCATCTGTAAAATGGGGACAGTGATAACTAACTTCATAGGGTTATTGTAAAGACTAAGTGAATTAATGATAGAAAAGGCATTCAGCCTACCATAGCACTTGGTAATACTATATTACAATTTTAATATTTTATTATAAAGACCTTATATTATTAAAACTATCACTTTAAGTGGCCATATAAATAGCTAGATATCTATCAGCTTACCTAGCCAATTCTCTACTTTTGAACACTGAAGATGTTTTAAATGCATGAAGCTATAATATTGATAAGTATTTTTATTTTTTAGAATTTGTGATCTTTCCATACTCATTTTTCTTGGGCCAGTACTGGGGTTTGAACTCAAGGCCTCATTGTGCTTGCTCCTGAATACTATTGTCATCATTCAGTCTGGATGGAAATCGCACATAGTAAACAAACTCCTGGAATGTAAGCTCCTGCTCAGCCTGTCTGCTATACCACATTATTCCTAGTATTTAGAATATCAATATTTGAATGAATAAATGAACGAGCTCAGGGCTTTGCACTCTTTGCTTTGCTTTTTCACTCACAGGCTGGCACTCTACACTTGAAGCACACCTCCATTTCCTTTGCTGATTATTTTGGAGATGGAGTTTTGTGGACTTTTCTGCTTGGGTTGGCTTTGAACCATGATCCTTCAGATCTCAGTCTCCTGAGTAGTTAGTATTACAGGAAGGAACCATGATGCCCATATAGCTTCCTTGTTTGTTTGTTTTTGTTTTTTCCTTTTGCCAGTCCTGGTGCTTGAACTCAGGGCCTGGGCACTGTCCTTGAACTTCTCTTGCTCAAGGCTAGCACTCTACCACTTGAGCCACAGTGCCACTTCCAGCCTTTCTGTTTATGTGGTACTGAGGAATTGAACCTAAGGCTTTATGAATGCTAGGCAAGCACTCTACCACTAGGTCACATTCTCAACCCCCGGTAGCTTCCTTTTTTAGTGTGTAGGATAGTCATATACTGAGCCATTGGGAGAGAGTAGTTCAATAGTGCTCCTATAAATATTGTTATGAGAAGACTCTTGACATATGTCAATAGTAATTCTCTTCTAGCACCTTTCTATAGCCCTAGACAGCAAAGAACCCCATCTCCCTAAGGCTTGTCTTCCATAGGAAAGCAAAGAGAGAAAGAAGGAAAAGCAGATCTGGCACCTGGGTACTCCAGTGATCGGGATGAACTGACAAGTACATCCTGCTGCAGTGGAAGGTAGAGGAGAGCTAATCTTTTCACCCAGCCTATCTGCAGGCAATGAGCCCAGATAGAGATGATTACTGCAGTTGTTCATTTCCAGGCATGAAGAATGTAGCTGCAGAAAATCAGTAGGTAAACTGCAGTGCAAGTGGAAAGCTCAGAATCTGGACCCTGAACTCATTAGCAAAAGCACAGTACTATCAGAGCTTTTAGTTGAAGGAAGACTTAATGGTTGAATGAACAGCTACTTCAGAAGGGAGACAGAATATAGCACTCTGAAATTATTTATTGGTTTGTTGTCTATCTCCCCAACTCTATTACGGTGCTATCTCTACAAAGACAAAGACCCAGTCTCGTTCACTGATATATCCCTAGAATGCATGCACACACACAAAAACAATGACTATAGCTCAATAATGGTTGAATTAATGAATGACTCATACTTCAAAAAACACTTCAGCAAGAACAATACCCCTGAGAAGGAAGGAGGCATAGACTACCCTAAACGTAGGAATTTAGATGCAGAAGACACCAGTGTTTTATGCCTATAATTTTAAGTAGTCGGGAGACTGAGACCTGAGAATCTCCGTTTGATGCCAACTTACAGCAGACAAATCTGAGCAAACCCAGAAGACTCCTCACCTCCAATTAACCAGCAAAGTAGGTGTGGATTAAGTGGTAGAACACCAAGTGCGAGTGGGGGAAAAAAAAGCCCTAAAAGATTGCTGAGGCCTAAAGTTCAAGCCCCAGTACCAATACACACACACACACACACACACACACACACACACACACCACACACATACCACCACCCCACGAAAAAGAAGAGTCGATGGATAATTCCTATTCTGCCTGTATCAAAATTGGAGGCATATATAAAATCTTTGCAGTGATACTGTGAAATGCTATTCAAATAGCAAACTGGACTGGAATGCCAAAGACCTAATTCTTGTACCTGCTCTGCCACTTGATGGTGTATGGGCCAATTAATTACATGAACTGAGCTAAGCAATGTTTAACCCCTTTTTACAAATGAAAGAACTAGCGCTCAGAAAGGTTTTGTAATTTGCCTAAATTACAGTTAATTGATAGTGCTAAGGTTCCAAACCTGATGTGACACACGCCGGAGCCTGGTGGTCTTGACCACTCACTTGGCTATATGTCTGATGATGGGCAAATTATTTCTGCCTGTTTTATTCTGTAAAATAAAGGGCTACACCAGATGATCCCCACACCTGACATTTCCAGGTCTAATCTGGTAATCGCTGCTCAGATACAATCGGACCAGGCTAATGGATCGGAACTGGCTGGGCGAGATTGTGAGGGAGTGATCATTCAGTCCTTTTGTCGTCGCCCTAGTTCGGATTTCTTTTTTAGAAGAGGAAGACAAGACCCAAATATTTCTTATATTCCTAGCTGTGTCTTGGGGGCGGGTCTGTTCTAGATCCCCCGCCGGACAGTCCCCGCCTGAGTCCTGTTTCACTTCATCCTTCCGGGCAAGGGACCCGAGGCCAGAGAAAGATGCTCCCTAAAACGGCCGGCCTGAACCCGGGCCAGGGACAGCCCCTCACCCCCTGCAGGCAGCCTGGAGTGGAGGGACGGCGACCCGCTCGCTGACCCCTCCAGGCCGTCCCTCAGCCTCCCTGCGCTAGTCCCGTCGTCTGTAAATCGGGGTCTGTATGTCTGCGTGGGGGGCGGGGGGGGCGGTGCGACGGAGAACAAGTGACATGAAGATTTGCAAAGTATCATCGGCCATGCTCGCTACAGCGCTCCCTCTCCGTGCTGGGGGACAGGGGAGGCCCCCATCGGTGGAGGCAGCCGTGCGGAGCAGGGTCGGGGCGGAAGAACCCGCAGGAGCTGACTCCGGGAGCGCGAGGGGTCTCAGGGCCAAGGCCGAATCACCTCCACCTCCGCTTCCCGCCCTCGGGCGTCTCCCGGGTCCCCAGCCGAAGCCCTCGGGGCTCCTCACCTCCGACTCCCGCCGCTGGCTGCGGAACGCTTCCCGGCCCTTGGGCACCGCCGGCTTCCCTTTGCCGTTATTGCCGTTACCATTGGCTGGCAGGCCCCCTGACCCGGAGGCCCCGGGCACCGTAGGGTCCTCCATGCGGCTGGTCAGCGGCTACCCTCAACAGCTCTCTCTGCCCGAGGCGACCCCGCCACCGCGCGCGCCTGGCACCAGGCTCCGCCCTCCAGTCGCTATTGGATGCGACCCCTCCCCTCGGCTCCGCCCCACATCGTGATTGGCTGCTTGACCGGCCAGAGTGGGACTCGGAGGGTTGGGGGTTCTTTCAAGGAATATTTTCCCCTTCCCGACTTGTTTGTTTGTTTATTTTAATTTCTGCGGCTTCAGCTGGTGCTACTGCTGATGGTCTCCTAGGTTGGTTTTCCACTTCACCTCCTGAACTCACCTTGAGTGCAGGCAGGTCCTCTCCTTTTTTTCCAGGGCTCTCAGTCGTCGCCCCCTGTTCTACTGCTGTCTGCATTGGACCCTGGCCGCCGAATCCTAGAGGACATCCAGCTAACTCTCAGAAGAGAGATGGCACAGCCCGGTAGCCAGGGCCACAGCTAGAAATGCGGGGCTCTCAGTCTCTGGGCTGATCAGGAGACTGGGAATTTAGGGGTAGGGCTTGGGGTGTTGGGTTTGTTTGTTCGGTTTTTTTTTTTTTTGTCACTGATGCCCTTGAGGGCTGCTGCTCCTGACCATCTGCCCTTTTCTGCTGTATTTGTACCCTGACTGCACTGAATTGGCGGCAAGACCCTCCCCCACCCCTCCTGGCCTTTCCTTTTTTCCTTTCTTTAAAGCTCCTTCCCAAAGGCTCAGTGTTGGTGGGGGAGGGGAGAGTGCTTTTTTTTTTTTGGTCGGTCATGGGGCTTGAACTCTGGGCCTGGGCGCTGTCCCTCAGCTCTTCAGCTCAAGGCTAGTGTTCTACTGCTTGAGCCACAGCACCACTTCCGGCTTTTTCTATTTATGTGGTGCTGAGGAACCGAACTCAGGATCTCACGCATGCAAGGCAAGCACTCTACCACTGAGCCACTTTCCCAGCCCTGTGATTTTTAAAATTTAACCAAATTCAGTGAGAAAGCGAGTGCAACAAAACGGGCAGATCTGGCTTGGTCATGGAAGTTCCAAACAAGTAGGCTGAAGGGATTGGATGGAACCAACTCATTAGCCAAACAACTCAGTTGCTTTAGGAAGAGGGTTGGGCGTTTTAACTATGCTCTGTGCCAGGCATGACACTGGGTACTTTCCAGATACATCATGCCTCTCCCTGACAGGTAATCTTTGAGAATCTGTTATTACTGATAAAGAAACTGGGACTCACGGAGAACTCCTTGTAGTTCCTAAGGTACATCGTGTCTTGTCACAATGTGGGGATGCTGTTCTGTGGAGGAAATTTGTTTTCTCTTGGTTGGCCACTGTCTTTAAAGATTCTAAAAAAGCATTAATTTTTTATTAGTATTATAAAGGTGTACAGAGGTGTTACATAAGTCAGGTAAACAGTACATTCTTTTTGGGCAATGTCACCCTTCCCTCCAAAAACAACTTTTAAAAGTTTTGTGGGGTTTTTTGTTTGTTTTTTTGTAGGTCGTGGGACCTGAACTCTGGGCCTGGGTGCTGTCCCTCAGCTCTTCAGCTCAAGGCTAGCACTCTACCACTTGAGCCACAGTGCCACTTGTTTTCTGAGTGCTTTTATTGGAGATAAGAATCTCATGTACTTTCCTGCCAGGTTTGGCTTTGGACTGAGATCCTCAGATCTCAGCCTCCTGAGTAGCTAGGATTACAGGTGTGAGCCACCGGCACCCAGCTAACTTTTAAAAGTTTTTAACAAGGATTCTGGTATAACAGGGTAAGCAGTAAGAAACATGTCCTCCTCGGTAGGAAATGGGAGTTAAAGACCTCCCAAGAAACTTTCTGTGAAAAGCCAACTTTGTTGAGAACCAAAAATCTTAGTATTTCCCATTTTCCTAAAACAAAGGTCTAAAGGAATTTTTTTCCCTATATTTTAGGGACAATTCCAGGCCTCCTTCCTTTTGCCACTTTCTTTTCATTTTTTTTTCTTACTCTCCCTTCCTTTCTTCCCATATTTCTTTAAGACAGGTTTGCACTGTGTAGCACAGGTTGGCCTCAACTCTATTTTTTTACCTTGGCCTTTCCAGTGCTGGGAGTACAGGTGTGCATCACCTTGCTGGTTTCCAATCCTTTTTGTGTCATTCTTTCTTTCTTCTTTCTGGATGGTAGGTGACATATCAAGGCAGGCTTGAAAGCAATTTTGTGAGATTTCTAGATTCCTTTCTTTCCAACATCTCAAACATCTACTTTCTGACACCACTCATCTTATTTCCACCTCTTTCCTAGGGTCAAGTTTATTTTCTCCCTTCTCTCCTCTCTTTTGTGGGTCCCGGGGTTTGAACTTAGAGCTTTGCACTTGTTTGGCTTACTTGCTTGCTCAACTGGTGCCCTACCACTCCAGCCCTGCTTTTTGCTGGTTATATTGGAGATGGGTCTTTTAAGTACTTTTTTCTGCCCAGGCTGGATTTGAACTATAATTCTCTAGGTGTCAGTCTTGAGTAACTAGAATTACAGTTGTGAGCCTGTATGATGTGTTCGTTCTGTTTCACAAAGGATTTCACTCTGTATTCTTGATCCTTTCGGCTGAAAAATTATTAGGGGGACTGCAATTGTAGGATGTTTAGTAGAACTTCTGGTCTCCTCTCACCTTACTTATGAGAACCCAAAATGCCTAGATATTGCAAAAAATGTTCCTTGAAGAGCAAAATCTTCAATTCAGAATCCTGGTTTAGGGAACTGAATTGATATGAAGTTCCAAGAAAGCTCTTGGCTTAAGGCCTAAGTGATTTGATTTTGGAATTTTTTTCGAGGGCGTAATTTGTTAACCTCTTAAAAATCTCTACTTTGTATTAAAATTCACAACCCACACCTAGCTCATCACTGACTTAATGTGATCAACCTGCCACAGCCCAATTGGGTTTCTTACTAAAAAGGAACTCATTATCTACTTTTCTTCTCAATACCTCTCTCCTTAAGCAGTGAAAATTTGGGGACTAACAGCCCCACAACTTGTTTTTTTGTGATCTTAATCAACCAGTAAAGTACTATCCTAAACAGTGGCAGAAATCTCTATCAATGGCCAGTTTTGAGGTTTTGTTCCTTTTTGTCTATCCTTAGGGTGAAGGACAGAGACTGATCTCTTAGAAGTGGGATTGAAGACAGCACCCAGGACTCCTCTAGCCTCTATCTAAAGCTAAATGCCGGGTTTAAGGCTGCCTTTGCCCTTACTTTTAGAGAAGGAATTTGAAAAATTGGCGTTGTAGAGATTGCAAAGATCAACAGGAAAAACCTCAGTCCATGATCTTTCCCACACTAAGTGGAATGGAAGACAATAAAGGCCTAAATGTTCAGAACTTGTAAAGATGTCTGGGTTGGGAATGGGGTGGGAGGGACACTTTGAGAATTAACAAGAAAGTGAGAACTGCAAATGTTGAAACTACAGGTCATTGGGCTGAGAATGTGGCTTAGTGGTAAAGTGCTTGCCTAGCATGCATGAAGCCCTGGGTTTGATTCTCAGTACCACATGAACAGAAAAAGCCAGAAGTGGTGCTGTGGCTCAAGTGGTAGAGTGCTAGCCTTGATTGAGCTTGATCGAGCAGCTCAGGGACAGTGCCCAGGCCTGAGATCAAGCCCCAGGACTGGCAAAAAAGATAAAAAAGAAAGAAACTACAGATCATGGAATTAGCACTCCTAAAATTTCTTTTAACTTACTTGCCAACAAGGAAGTGATAATTTTTTGCCACATGATTGATCAGAGGCAACCATAAGTATACCTGGGAATTAAGTAATCAGGGATGGTCTGTTTTTTTGTTTTGCATAGAAAGGTCCAGAAGTGAGTTACTTTAAAACCAACATTGCAAATGTCCCTTGTCCCAAATCTCAGGTTTTATTCTGAGGGCTGGAGGTATAACCGGGTACAGTTACTAGGATCATACATACCCCTTTGTTCACTTAAGCACTTTAATCCCTAGAGGGCAAATAATAAACAGTGCCTTGCACTGACACAGCTTATAAAGAAGATGAAGTCTTAAATTACTTTATTTTTGAGGCTATTTAGCAGTTAGGACAATATAGTAGAAAAAGAACACCTCCTTTCTCCATAAAGGGCATGAGTAGGTGTAATAATGCAATGTAGGCTACAGTTCCCTACATGGAACAGATGTTTATGCAGTAAGCAGTGTGTGCCTGTCTTTAAGTAGCACTTTTTTTATTTTTTGATACATCAGGCCATTGAATCTTTACCCTAGGAGATAATCATTATCAATTTCACAGGCAAAATAACTGAGGCTTTGATTGGTTATATAATTTTGCCAAGTTATACAACTTGTAAATGGCAGAGCTGGAGTTCAAACTCAAGCATTAGCCCAATTCAGAGTTTAGGCTCTTTCTATAATTATTGTGAGGCAGAGAAGCATGCCCAGCAGCGGGCAGCCTGAACTGATTCTGGGAGTATGAAACTAAGACCAGGAACATGGGTTTTCATCCTTCACAAAAGAATCAGGCTTTATAGAGGGAGCAAATCCTCTCAGCTGACTCGAAGGCTTCACTGCTAGCTGCTGCCTTATCTGAACTGGAATGGCTAAAGCTTTCAGCCATTACCAACTTCCCTGTGGCTCTTAGCTTAAATAAGCACAAGACAAAATGGCAGAAGAGTCTGATAAGGAAAACATCTCATGTACAGGATGTACAGCTAAACAGGATGATCATCTAAAAGCTTCCCAGACCTGGTTACCCCTACTGGTAGATGAGAAAAAACAGGCAATTGGATTCATCCTCCAGTTACTGAGTTAGCCAGGTAACCTGACTTACCAACAAATCTCTGCCCAAATAATTTTCTTCCCTTTGAATGAATGTAGGGAGATCCTGAATGCCTGGAGCCCTTTGGTGCCAAACTATGGTTATGCTGACCTTCCTGTGCTCTCCAGCTAAGGACTACACCCAGAGGGCATGAGGGACTTAGAGCTATGCATTCGTGTTTGTACCTTAAGCTACCACTCTCAACTCCCCAGGGTAGTGGTTGTAAGAAGACACGTTCCTTATATCTGGAGCCGTGTGTGTGTCCAGGTGGATGTGGGCAGAAGGAACAAGGTATTTACCAGTACAGTGGCCTAGCAAGGAATAAAAGTCTCAAGGCAATGGTCACTCAATGGTTACAGCCCATGGGTAAGAGTTTCAGCATTTCACACCTTTGCCCAGAGACCTCTCACCTCTTAGTGACAGAAGCAAAAATACTCTCAGGACAATAATCCATTTTAAGAATATTTTATTTATCTTTTGAGATTACATAGTCATTATTGCTGATCTAATACAATCACTTAGACATAAAGATTTCCAAGAGCTTCTCAGAATGGCGATCTTTTAGAGGTTCTGTTCCTTTCAGTAAGATGACAGTGAGAACTAGATTATTATTATATATATATATATATGTGTGTGTGTATCTATATAGGACTTTTCCACGTATAATTTGCTGGTGTTGCCTATTTTCTTTCCATAGTTTTCCTTTATAAAAAAGCTTAATGCAACAATTCACTTTGATTTGTTTAAGAACCATGACAAAGTTAATTTTGAGAAAACCACAGGAGCAGCAATTTCAGATCTGTTCAGAGAAAAGCTAAGCAGCAAAAACAGCTTTGCAGGAGTGTGTGGCCACAGGGAGCCGTGCTTACATGGGAGGGCAGGATGGGGAGGGAGCAGGGCAGAGGGGAACTAGAAGAGATTCATTTTTGGGGTACTGGGGTTTGAACTCAGGGCTTTGCCATCAGATCCACACCCTCAGCCTTTGATTTTGCCTCAGGGCATTTTTCAGGTAAGGTTATGCTTTTTGCCTGGGCTGGCCTCAGTTTATGATCCTCCTGTTTCTCCTGTGTAGCTGGGACTACACCCATTAACTACCATGCTCAGCTTGTTAGCTGAGATGAAATTTTGCTAATATTACTCTTCTTACAAGGAGCTGGGATTTAGGTGCTTTTTTTTTTTCTTTTTGGTCAGTCGTGGGGCCTGAACTCTGGGCCTGGGTGCTGTCCCTCAACTCTTCAGCTCAAGGCTAGTGCTCTACTGCTGAACCACAGCGCCACTTCTGGCTTTTTCTGCTTATGTGGTGCTGAGGAATCGAACCCAGGGCATCATGCATGCAAGGCAAGCACTCTACCACTGAGCCACCTTCCTAGCCTTGTAGGTGCATTTTTAAAGAAGAAACAGCAAACTAAATATTTCCTTTAAAAGGCAAAAAGACCTTGGAACTAGCACAAGTTCATCTTAGGTAAAATGGTAAGTATTCCCACAGGCTAGGGCCACATTCAAAGAGATAATTAATAATTAGCCTTCTTTTCCATGCCTCCTACTAGGAAGGTGAAAGGTTGGGGAAAGGAAGGCAACTGCTCTGATTCCAAGGACAGAGGAGTAATGATAAAATCCCAACAATAAAATTAAATAGGAGAGCTTGACCTCCTTCTTTTTCCTGGTTGATGACACAAGGTCCCCAAAGAAAGAGAAGAGAAGTAATCTGAAATTTAGAGGCAACTACCTCACTATAGGCAGCAACACTGGTGACCTAACTTCGAAAACCGTGTGTCTCCTTTCCTCTGTGGAGTAACGGTGTGTTGCCTGTAAGAACTAGCTCTCAGTAAATGCCATAGAGGCAAGCTTTGCAGAGAAGCAGCAGGTTATGAATTTTGGTTTAAGAAGTTAATAGGCTAGGGCCCAGCTTATCAGCCTAATGGAAACGGTTCTGCATGTAAGATGGAGGTACAAAGACCCAAAGCTTTTGCTAAAGAGACCCAATTAATGAATACAAAAGTCAGAATTGGGCAGGCAAAAGAACTGGGTAGCCTTGTGGGTTTTTCATTACGTATGGTCTTCCTCATAAGAAAGAGTGCAGCCATATGTGTTCTTCTCTAGCACTGCTGAGACATATGGCCTCTTCTTAGGGGATGAGCCTATATGCTATTTAATGAGGTAAACAGCTGTTTATCCAAGTCTACTTCCCTAGCTCCAAAAGTAAGGACACTTCCAGACTAGCTCTGGGGGTCTATGTAAATACAGGGAGACAAAGTGTGGAGAAAGGGGAGGATTCAGATGGAATGATTCTGGCGGTCTGGTATTTCCTTGCTACACCATGGTCTTAAGACTTTGAAGGAGACCAACGTAAGAAAAAACTGGGACACAAATGTGCGAGCACATAGGGGTGGCTGGGGAAAAAGAGACTCATTTCATTCAAGATTCCTAGGGTCATTCCAGGTGTTAATTCTTAGAACCAACCAATCTGGTTCATTCCAATGAAAACCTTGAAGCCAGTAAGTCAGTTTCCAAAAGAATCCCACTGGGACATCAAATTTCATATTGTTCATTTTACTAATTTTAAAACTAATTTTGGAATTACTTAAGAAACTATCTCTGCAACAGAATCTTTAAAAGGAAGAGGTAAGATCATGAAGATGCCAGCAGAGAGGAAAGACGACAGATTGGGTTGCAGATCTTACTTTCATCCATGGCAATGGCCAAAAAATAAATGTCTGATGAGGTAACTAGTCAAACTAGTTTTGAGCTCCGAACGGATTAAAATGTCATCTTTTTACCTATTAGCTTAACCAAGTCTTTCCTGGGAAACAAATAAACATACCTGCTTCTTTCAGGGCCAAGCTGTGTACCTGAAAGCCTGGTGCCATTTTCAAAGTCTTAATCTTCCAAATCCCTGGCAAAGTATGTCTTTTCAAGCTCACTTTTAGAAATAGTTTTAGGCAATAACAGGAAGCTTCAGGAAGAACTGTTCTACAACAAAGCCTCCTTTTCTGAGTCAGTGCCAGTCTGGAGTGGGCTTCCTGAGCAGTGCTTGGTGGGTTAGAAAGACAGCAAAACAAACATCTGATAAACACCAGAGCTGGTGCTGAGATCATAGAGGCATACCCTCTTGGAACCAGAAGCATTAAAACGGACTTAAGAGTCAAGAAGAAAGGAGTCCTATGTAAGGAAGGAGACCCCATTAGGCACAGACAACAGGCACAACTAAGTTCTCGAGTGGCTTGCAAGGCCTTAACACTCCTTTTTTACTAGACTTTTTTGTAAAGAAGGCAGTGACAGTGTGGCCAAGGCTGAGAACCCAGGCCATGTTAATTCAGTGGCTCCCAAAAGGCTTCACCAGGGGAGAATGATCAAAGCTGAGAAAGGCAGCTGCTGAATTTATTCCAGAAAACCCCAGGGAACAAAGAGTCTGGAATCCCTGAACTCCTGAGCCTGGATGAGAGAAACAGCTATTGCTGAGGAGTTCATCAATAGGCAATGATGTGAATGATGCACTAGGCTTGGTGACCCCATTGCTTTCCTTCCTCAGCCTGTCTTCTGCAGTTCCCATGGCCCGAAGAGCAGTAACCACACTCTGGGCCAAGGCTACAGGCACAGGATTCTAGATTTTAATAAATAAATAACCTAACACACAGGGAGAGCACGGCGGGCAGCTCTGATTGGAGAAGCAGCTTGCTGGGTTCTTTCTTAGATAGTAGTGGAGAAAAGGCTTGGAGTTCTATTCCTTAAAATGTCTTCTGGCTTGAGTTACAGGAATTTAATACCTGGAAAGAAAAAGAAAGATGAGACTGATACTATCGGCTAGTAGGCCTGTTGAAACCTGAAGAGCCTATCTAAAGATAGGAGGCAGGGGCTCTCCTGAAGTGTATGAGAATTGATACTTTGGGGTTCCTTTTCATATCAGAGAAAAGGCCAGTATATTTTCTTGGAGGAAGGGAATATTAACATTTTGTAGAAGATCTCAAAGAGTCCTCTGAGGGTGCCAAAAAGGGAGTGGGTTAATTTCCCTGAGTCAACGTAAACCTATGTGTTGGGGTTTGAGGAGATGCAAACACCAATTCCCGTACAGGAAGCTCTTCACTACCCAGGCTTCCCTGAATTCTAGGGACCCCAAGGCACCTGTAGTAATTAGGCTTGAAAGGCCCATTCTTGTTGAGTCCCAGATACTTCGCCTGTTCATCTGTCAGCTCTGTCAGGTGGGCATCAAAAGTTGGTAGGTGTAGGCTTGCCACATACTCATCTGGAACAGACCACAAAAGCCCTGGGGTAAGCATTCATGCCCCTTCTCTGGCTGTCCTCCCAAGTGAGGCCTTAAACAGCTGGAAGATGTGTTCTAATTCTTTGAGATGAGTAAAAGATGTTTGACTTTTGTTCATGGGCCACCAGTTATTATTATTTTTTTATTAAAATTGTTTTTGTGATCATGGGGCTTGAACTCTGGCCCTGGATGCTGTCCTACAGAGGGGTTACCGTTTCTTCTTTCTCCTTCCTTCCAGGAACTTCCTTCCTTCCTTCCCCTTCTTTCTTCCTTCCTTCCTCTCTTCCTTCCTTCCTCTCTTTCTTTCTTTCCTTTCTTTCGCTGTCCCCCAGCTCTTCAGTTGTATACCGGGGCTCTACCACTTGAGCCTCAGCCACACTTCCATCTTTTTCTGCTTATGTGGTGCTGAGAAATTGAACCGAGGGCCTTATGCATGCAAGGCAAGCACTCTACCACTGACCTACCTTCCCAGCCCCGGGGTTACCATTTCTTAAGCCAGGTACTGAGTACAATTCTTTGTCACCCCTTCACTCTCCCTCAGTTTTCCCTTCCTAACCCTGCCCACAAGTTACATAGGTCAGTTTCAAATTGTGTATACTGAATAATATGATTGCATTTGTTCACCCTCTCTTCCTCCCTCCCTTTCTGTGCCCCTTGCTGTCTCCTAAAAGAAAAAAAAAAGTAAAAACAAGTACCACAGCTGGGCACTAGTGGCTCACGCCTGTAATCTTAGCTATTTAGGAGGCTGAAATTTGAGGATCATGGTTCAAAGTCAGCCCAAGCAGTAAACTCTATGAGACTCTCATCTTCAATTAACCACCAGAAAACTGGAAGTAGAATTGTGGCTTAAAGTGGTATAGCATTAGCCTTGAGCAAAAGGAGCTCAAATTGCCTAGGTCCCAAGTACAAGCCCCATGACTGACATCACCGCCACCAACAACAAAAAACCCCATGTTATGGGCCTCCAATTCTAAGGAATGGCTACCTGAAGCTGCAAACTCAGTGCCTAGTGTCTTTGTTACTCTCAGCCTTGAACCTTTCCTACTCTTCAGAAAGGAAAGAGAGGAAAGGAAGCCCTAGGGTCTAAAAGAGTTGGAAAGTTCCAACTTTAGCTTTGCCTTGGACTATATATTATACTTTGAGTCACTCAAAAAAATTAAGCCCTGAAGTAATTGAAAAACAATAATTAAGAAGGATACAAGACTGTTTGCTTTGCTTTCAGTATTTTTTTATTGGTTTCTGCTTATTTTTTATTATCTAAATACCTTGCACTTATTCATAATTTTATATTATTTCTTATGTATTTGTATTTCAAATTTAATTATATATTCAGTATATATTATATATTCAGTATATAGAACACTATTTTATAACCTTCCATTTTGTCATTTTGTTCATGCCTGCAATCCTAGCTACTCAGGAGGCTGAGTTCAAAGTCAGTCTAATCAGGAAAGATCATGGAGACTCTTATTTCCAATTAATCAGCAAAAAGGTAGAAGTAGAGCTTTGGTTCAAGTGTTAGGGCCTTATCCTTGAGCAAGAAACAAAAAAGCTCAGGGACAGCAACCTGATTTCAAGCTTCAGAGATGGTACACACACACACACACACACACACACACACACACACACACACGAGATAGAGAAGAGAGAGAGGGAAAAAGGGAGAAAGGGAGAAAGGGAGAGGGGAGGCAGAGGGAGGAGAGAAAACATAAATTTTTAACCATTATTGAAATAAAATCAGAAGCTCATTTATTCCTTGATCTTTGTTGGAGGAGCTTATAAATGCACTGTATCATTCAGCTGCTTAGGTAGGCTCTTAAGAGCAGTTAATGTTTCTCTTATACCACATACCAGCACAACTAAGCTATTAACAGGAGTTACTCAGAATCCTTTTTTCTAAAGCAGTGGGGTAACAATGTTAGGTATACCCTAAAAAGATGGGGCTATTTAGCATTGTAGAACTAGAATAAGTCAAGTGTCACAGGAAGATCATTCCTCTATTTTTGAGAAATGTTTCTTTTTCTCCTTTGAAATCCCCCCATATAAGGTACTTTAAGAGGGCTGGGAAGGTGGCTCAGTGGTAGAGCGCTTGCCTTGCATGTGAGGCCCTGGGTTCGATTCCTCAGCACCACATAAGCAAAAAGAAGAAAGCCGGAAGTGGCGCTGTGGCTCAAGTGGTAGAGCGCTAGCCTTGAGCTGAAGAGCTGAGGGACAGCGCCCAGACCCAGAGTTCAGGCCCCAGGACTAGACCCCCCCCCGCCCCGGGGGAGAGAAAAATCCTTTATATTCAGGAGCATGGCAAACATAGTGGTATATGTCTCTAATTCCAGCACTTGTAGGCTGAGGGAGGAGGACCATACGTTTGAGGTTAGCCTGTTCTACATAGTAACGGTCTCAAAAATTAAGATAAGATGAAACATTTCACAAGTATATAAGCTAAATCACAGAAAAATGTCAGAACCTGGCTAGGGCAAACCCTTGTAGAAAACCCAGTAAATGAACTAAAAATAGAACCTGACTCCAACTTTATAAGATAAGGATATTTCTCTTTTTCTATTTCTGAGACGTTAATGCCTTCCAGCTTCCAGCCTAATATGAACTACTTTGGTAAGAATGGGGAAGGAAGAACAATGGGCTTACCCATTTTCTTGGGCAACAGGTAGACATCCTGTTTATAGCGACCCTCAGGAGCATTGTAAAGTTCTATCAAGGCGAGAGCCTAGAAAAGCAAAGACATGGATGCTGATACACCGTTCACAGCAGCCCTACCCTGTCAAGGGGCACCCTACTGGTGAGGACCCTGACAAGACCACTCTGGAGGGCTTACCTGAGTAGTAGCAGTGATTGAAAGCACAAATGTAGGCACTGTGGAGCAACTTAGGTTCAGCAGACGGCCCTAGTGATTAAAGATTAAGATACAAAAGGATTAGGACATTTGCCAGGACTTTGGTGAATGAGAGAGACCATGGCTGCCATTTTCAAAACCATCAGCAAGTAACATTGCTAAGATGTTCAATAAATATGACTTACATTTAGCACATTCATGTGTGTGTGTGTGTCCTGGAGCTTTTGAACTCAGGGCTTGGACACTATCTCTGAGTTTTTTTTTGCTCAAGGTTAGCACTCTACCACTTGAGCCACAGTTCCACTTCCAGCTTTTTGTCTTATCAACTTTCCTGCCCAAGGCTCATTTTGCACCTCAATCCTCAGATCTTAGCCTCCTGAATCGTTAGGATTACAGGTGCGGCCCACCATGAGCACATAGATTTTTTTGGGGGGGAGGTCGGTTGTAGAGTATGAACTCTGGCCCTGGGTGCTGTCCCTCAGCTCTTCAGCTCAAGGTGAGCACTCTACCACTTGAGCCACAGCGTTGCTTTCTGTTTTCTGGTGGTTAATTGGAGATAAGAGTCTCATGGGAGCCAGGCGCTGGTGGCTCACGCCTGTAATCCTAGCTACTCAGGAGGCTGAGATCTGAGGATCGCGGTTCAAAGCCAGTCCGGGCAGTTGAGACCGTGAGACTCCTATCGCCAATAAACCACCAGAAAACCAGAAGTGGCACTGTAGCTCAAGTGGTAGAGCGCTTGCCTTGAGCTGAAGAGCTGAGGGACAGCGCCCAGGCCCAGAGTTCAAGCCCCACAACCGAAAAAAAAAAAAAAAAAGAGTCTCATGGGTTTTCTAGCCTGGGCTTCTTTTGAACCATGATCCTCACATCTCAGCCTCCTGAGTAGCTAGAATTACAAGTGTGAGCCACCGGCACCTGGCCACACAGCTTATTTTTTTTTTTACTTTTGTCTAAGATTTATTTTTAACTAATACATAAAAACAAAAATTGTGTCATGTAATATTTCAGTGCATGCTAAGGCGGGAAGACTGTAAGTTTGAGGCCAGCCTGGGCTACCCAGCAAGACTGACTTAGGGGAAAAAAAAAAAGGAAAGTAAACACTAGAACACAGTAAAGCCACCAGCACAACCATGCTCATAGCAGCACTATTCACTATAGCCAAGGTATGGAATTAACCTAGATGCCCCTCAGTGGATTAACAGATCAAGAGAACATGGTATACCAGATTTCTGTGACTCACAATCCTAACTCAGGAGGCTGATGTAAGGATTGTGTTTGGAAGTCAGCCTGCGCAGGAAATTACCACCAAAAAGCCAGAAGTGGAGCTGTGGCTCAATGCTCTAGCCTTGAGTAAAAAAGCTCAAGAGACAGCAGCCAGGCCTTGGGCCTTAAGTTCAAGCCCCAGGACTGGTACCAAAAATGAATGAATGAATGAATGAAAGAAGGAAGGAGAGAGAAAAAAGTAAGAAAGAAAGGGAGAAAGAAAGAAAATAAGAAAGAGAAAAGAAAGGAAGGAAGAAAGAAAAGATAGTGGCTTAGTGGTAGAGTGCTTGCCTAGCATGAATGAAGCCCTGGGTTTGATTCCTCAGTACCACATAAACAGAAAAAGCGGGAAGTGGTGGTGTGGCTTAAGTGGTAGAATGCTAGCCTTGAGCAAAAGCAAGCTCAGGGACAGTGCCTAGGCTCTGAGTTCAAGCCCCAGGACTGGCAAAAAAAAAAAAAAGACTACATGGTATATATACATAATGGAATTTTATTCGTCCATTAGAATGATATTGCATCACTTGCAAAGAAATGGAAGGACCTGAGGGAAAAATTATGTTAAAAGTGAAAAATTATGTTAAAAGTGAAGTTAGGGGCTGGGAAAGTGCTCAGTGGTAGAGCGCTTGCCTTGCATACATGAGGCCCTGGGTTCGATTCTTGAGCACCACATAAGCAGAAAAAAAAAGCTGAAAGTGGTGCTGTGGCTCAAGTGGTAGAGCACTAGCCTTGAGCTGAAGAGCTAAGAGACAGCGCCCAGGCCCAGAGTTCAGGCCCCACGCCTGGACGCCACCCCCCCTCCCAAAAAAAGTGAAGTTAGGCTCAGAGAGAGACAAAGACTGCATGTTTCCTCTGTTATGTGAAAGCTAAGAATTAGTATATAAATATTAAGGTAAAATAGCCGGGCGTTGGTGGCTCATGCCTGTAATCCTAGCTACTCAGGAGGCTGAGATCTGAGGATCATGGTTCAAAGCCAGCCCGGGCAGGAAAGTCTGTGAGACTCTTATCTCCAATAAACCATTAGAAAACCGGAAGTGGCGCTGTAGCTCAAGTGGTAGAGCACTCGCCTTGAGCTGAAGAGCACAGGGACAGCGCCCAAGCCCAGAGTTCAAGCCCCACAACAGACCAAAAAAAAACAAAAAATTTAGGTAAATACCCTGGATGGTAGGCGAGTGTATACAATGTATTAACAGAAATATGATAGATTCAAGGGAGAACTAAAAAAGTCTAATTCCTTAGAAAGGAAAAATCATAGTTCAACAAAATAAATACCAAGGAACAGGTACTTGAAAATGGTGGGGAAGGATCAAGGGGAGGGGCAGATGAATAAAGAGAAATGGGGAGAATGCCATCAAAATTCAATATACATCCTACAAAATTAAGAGTGGGTTGGGAGAGATGGGTGAGGATGTTGAAAGGGGTGACACTGATCAAGATGCACTGTACTCATAAACTGATTTGTTGAAGGTTAACTCCTTTGTACAATCACTTTAAGATAATTAAGTATTTCTAAAAATATGGTAAAAACAAACCCATCTGTTTCCTCCAACATTTATGATTTCTTTATTCAAAATCCAGAACTTAACTGTTATCTGTAGTCACTGTATTATACAATAATATACTCAAATTTCTTGTTCCTGAGTACCTTTAGTATCCACTGATGAAGCTCTTTTTTTTTTTTTTTGGGTTCAGTTGTGGGGCCTGAACTCTGGGCCTGGGCATTGTCCCTCAGCTCTTCAGCTCAAGGCTAGCACTCTACCACTTGAGCCTCAGCACCACTTCTGGCTTTTTTTTTCTACTTATGTGGTGCTGAGGAGTCGAACCCAGGGCCTCAGGCATGCAAGGCAAGTGCTCTACCACTGAGCCACCTTCCCAGCCCCTGATGAAGCTCTTACACTTCTCTTCTTTACCTCACTAGTCTTGGCCTCTAGTGAACACCACTGATTTCCACTCTCAACTTCCAAGAGGTTGATTTTTTTTAGATTCCACATATAAGTAACACACTTCTTGTCCTTTTGTGCCTGGCTTAATTTCACTTAACATAATGATCTCCAGTTCCATCTGTGTTGTTGCAAATTAAAGTATTTCATTTTTTTGTGGCTAAGTAACATTCTGTTATGTATGTGTACCACATTTTCTTTGTACATTTATCAGCTAAAGGCTACTTAAGTTGGTTCAATTTTTTGGCTTTTGTGAATAGCACTGCAATAAACAAGGGAATACGAATACTTTTTCTAATACTGATTTGATTTTCTTTGGATATATACTCATGAGTGGGAATGCTGATCACGTGGCAGTTGCTTTTAATTTTTTGATGAACAGTTTTTCATAATGGCTATATTAATTTAAATCCCACCAAGATACAAGGGCTCCTGCCCTCTATATACTTAATAGTACTTGTTATCTTTGGTCTTTTTCTGTTCTTTTTTTTGGGGGCCTGAGACCAGGACTTGGACTTGGTACCTGTCACTTTCACTCATTGACTAGAACTCTAACAATTGAGCCATGCCTCCAACCCATCTTTTGTCTTTTGATAGTACTCATTTTTACTAGAATGAGTGATATCTCATTGTGGTTTAATTTCCATTTTCCTGATAATTAGCGATGTTGAATATTTTCTTTACCTATAGGTTGGCCATTTGTATGTCTTCTTTAGAATTAACTAACCTTTAAGTGAAAACCACTGAAAGTGCTGGGAATTTTTTTTTTTTTTTTTGGTCGGTCATGGGGCTTGAACTCTGGGCCTGGGCGCTGTCCCTCAGCTTTTCAGCTCAAGGCAAGTGTGGCTCTACTTGAGCCATAGTGTCACTTCTGATTTTCTGGTGGTTTATTGGAGATAAGAATCTCACAGACTTTTTCTGCCTGGGCTGGCTTCAAACTATGATCCTCAGATCTCAGTCTTATGAGTAGCTAGGATTATAGGTGTAAGCCACTAGTGCCCAGCTAACATTCAGTTTTTCAATGTAAAAAAGACAAGAAAACTGCCAGGTGGTGGCTCACACCTGAATCCTATCTACTTAGGAGGCTGAGATCTGAGGGTACCAGTGGCTCACACCTATAATCCTAGCTACTCAGGAGGCTGAGATATGAGGATCAAGGTTCAAAGCCAGCCCTGGCAGGAAAGTCCGTGAGACTTTTATCTCCAATAAACCAGTAGAAAACTGGAAGTGGCACTGTGGCTCAAGTGGTAGAGCACTTGCCTTGAGCTGAAGAGCTGAGGGACAGTGCCTATGCCCAGAGTTCAAGCCCCACGACTGACAAAAAAAAAAAAAAAAGACAAGAAAACTGATTGAAAATCGAAACCCAGGAGAATTATTATTATTATTGCCATTGTTATTTTGGAACCTGGCCCTCAGTTCATAGTAAGAACAGGGTGCATTATAGTAATAAGGAATCTAAGACTGGGGAAGAGGCATGGGTCAAAAACTGGTATAAATGGATACAAGGAAAAAATGTAGAATAAGCATGAGCTAGAAGAAGCCAGAATGGGCATTCTCAATCAAGTAACCAATTTATACTACACATCTGGCTCACTTCAGGGGAGTGGGCATGAAGTAATAAGGACTCTATCATCAAAGATGTGGCTTTTCCAGAGCTTGCTCCAGATAGGTCTGAGTTACAGAATAACTACACTTTGTGCTTACTGATTAAATCATCTCACAAATCACATTATCTCTTTGAAAGCATCCCTCAAAGTGGTACTGGTTTTATCTGTTAATTCTTTCTACAGTAATAAGTCATTATCTGATTCAACCTGAAGAGTGACATAGAGAGACAGGATAATTGGTGAAAAGTGGGGAACAAAAATAGTTTCTTAATTGCTGAATGAAACAACCTTTCACAGTTAGAAGTAAAAATTCACGGGTAAGCAGTTAAAAGTTATGCATAAGAGTAACACTTGCAAGAATAAGAGAACATGAGGAGAGGAGCTGGGTGCTGCAGTCTCTCCTGTGTGAGTCTCTCTGGCCAGCCTCAGCCTTACCTCTGCCAACAATACTATCCTTTTGCCATCAGGCCATATCACATGGTCAACTTGGGACCTCACTCGCTCCCAGGTCAGTTCTGGTGTCCGCAGACTTGCCTGGAACACACATATCAAGAACATCATTAGCATGGCATGTCCCAAATCAGGGGCAGAAAGGTGTCGAAGGGAGCCATTTCAAATAGCAAGTCGAAAGGAGCAACCAACATGCCAGATGGAGAATACCTGTCCTGAGTTGGTTAGGACTGTTCCATTTCAGGGGATTTAATCTTAGGCCCAGCCAGGGAGGGATCACTCGGGATGTCATTCCACAACATATACTGTCCGCCCACTCTCTGCTGAGCACAGTAAAAGGTGCTATGAGAAATACACAAGAAACCAAAGGCATGGTTTCTGCTTTCAAAAGGCTCACACTTTAGTTGGGGACACAAAACAATACATATGTGAGAGAAAAATACTTACAAAGCAACATGCAACCAGTGCAAACTAATGTAGTGCAAACTGAGTATGTAAGTGCTAAAGAGACACAGAAAACAGGATCAGAGCTAAGTGAGATTAGCTGGCGAAGGCTGCATGTCCTAAACACAGCATGCTGGGCCCCAAGGTTCAGCCCGCAGGTCCCAATGTTCCACGTGCCACCTTTTCAATAATGGTGGTTTACTCTAAAGTTACTGAAGCTTTGTGACCTAAGTGCAAACGTGAGGTAGCCTTGAAAGGAATGCTTAATGACAGAATAAAGCTCCCAATGGCTCACCCTCCTTCCATTTCTGTATATTGTACATTCAGAGGACAAGAGAAAAAAAATGTTAAGTTTATTAACAGCAACAATCAAGTAACAGTCACAGGGTGTAGACAACTATTTCCTTTTCTTCTTCCAATAAGCTATGACTGTCATATTCCAAAACTGACCACTGGCTACTTGATTAAAATTTAAAGAAATCAAATACTTTTAGTATATAATAGCATTACATACCATAGTCTAGGCATCATAGTAAAGGATATGAATATAGATAAAGATTGTGGATTCCTCTATTAGAGGAAAGGAACAGGATTTTCTTTTCCTTTTTGTACCCCCAAGTTCTATCTAAACATACAATGGGGTATTCAATTACTGTTTAGAAATTCATAATCCCTGAGAAAGTAATGAGTATAAAGACAGACATATAATTATACATCAGTGTATTCAGAACTGTGTTCATATTCTGGATCTTTTCTATGTTATGTAGATAAGAAACAAAATTTCTTTTTCTTTTGTATTTGGTTATAGGAGTTTGAACCCACAGCCTCATACTGCCTGCTAGACACGCAGAACCCAGCCTCTAGTGCTTTCTTGTACTGGCTATTTATTTTATATTTTTTTTAATTTAATTTAATTTTATTTGTGAACATACTGTACAGAGGGGTTACAATTACATGGGCAGGATAATGCGTACATTTCTTACTAAGCATTGCAGCCTCCTCCTTTGGTTTACCCTTCACATCCCTTCCCAGCCTCCCCCCTCTCCCCCAATCCCAATCCTTCTCCTAGGTTATTTATTTTTTTTTATTTTTATTTTTTTGGTCGGTCATGGAGCCTGAAGGTGCTGACCTTGAGCTCCTCAGCTCAAGGCTAGCACTGTACCATTTGAGCCACAGTGCGACTTCTGGCTTTTTCTGCTTATGTGGTGTTGAGGAATCGAACCCAGGGCCTCATGCATGCAAGGCAAGCATTCTACCACTGAGCCATTTTGCCAGCCCTGTACTTAAAGATAGGTTCTCAGTTCTATTTGGGCATGTACCTAGACCTTGATCTACCTATTTCAGGCTTCCTATTGTGGGTAGGATTACAGGCATAAGCCACTGATGCTCAGCTAACACTTTTATGTAGTGGTTCAGTCTTTCAAGAGAGCTATTTGGCAGTACATAGTAAATTTTCTTAATGGGCTGGGTGCTGGTGGCTCACATCTGTAATCCTATCTACTAAGGAGGGCTGAGATCTGATGATCATGGCTCAAAGCCAGCCCAGGCAGGAAAGTCCATGAGACTTCCATTTCCAATTAACTAACAAGAAGCCAGAAGTGGAAATGTGGTTCAACTGGTGGAGTATTAGCCTTGAGCAAAAAGAGATCAGGAACAGTACCAAGGTCCAAAGTTCAAGCTCCAGGACTGGTACCATGCCCCCCAATTTTTTTTAAAGGAACTTAGTCTTTGACCAATTAATTTTACTTCTAGAACTCCTATAGAAATGCTTCTTAAAGTTCAGAAATGTAAGTGCTCATACATGTTCACTCTAGCACTATTTATAATAACAAAAGTATAATTTGATAAGGAAATGGTATATAAATCAGAATAGCTCAATATCATGGATTATTATACAACTTTTTTTTAAACAGGTACTGAAACTTGAACTCAGGTCTTATGCTTTTGCTTATCTTTTTTGCTCAAGCCTGTTGCTCTACCATTTAAGCCATACTTTCATGTCTTATTTTTTTGGTGATTAATTGGTCTCATGGACACTTTTCTGCCCAGGCTGGCTTCAAATCTTAATCCTTAGATATCAATTTCCTGAGTAGCTAGAATTATAAGCATGAGCCACTGGCTCCAGACTTGCTATGCAACTTTTAACAAAATAAGTAGAGTCTTGGGATGCAGAATGTACAACACTGTCCTAGCATATACAAGATTCTGGATTTGATTTCCACCATCACTAAAGGAGAGGGGGAATAACCCCCTTATAAATAAACACAGTGAATAGAATTAAAAAGGGATTTAAGCAAATGGACTATTTGGGGAAGATAAAGACACAGGTAAATCCTTTAGCCTTTGGCAATAGGACACAGAGGGAAATAGTCACTCCCTGGCAACACTGCAGTTTTTTTGAACTGGGTTTACCAACTGCTTCAGGTTTTTAAATGTTTCATACCCTTATCTTCCAGAGCACAAGCAATCTTGGTGACTGGGAGCAAAGAGCTGACAACATGATGATCAATCTCCTGTCTTAGGAAGCAATCTTTCAGAAGAAAGATATAGTGGAATCAAGAAACATAAGAAAAGATCAATGATGAGTACAGAGAGTTTACCTGTGCTCTTGAATGGTAGGTAAGAAATCTTGAAGGTCAGTGAGAAAAGGGAGTTGAAAAAAAAACCTGGTTAATTTATCTCTGTCTAGGGAGTTGCAATGATTACCTGATTATGAGAAAGAAATATGTCGTATCCGATGGCTGGCAACTGGGGGATGGTGGTATAGCTCAGTGGCAGGGCATATGCTTAGCATGTATGAGGCCCTGGGTTTAAACCCCTAGCACCAGTACTACTATGCCAAAATAGAATGCTGTGGAATTATAATCATTAAGCATTCTACCAGGTAAAGGTTTTCCTAGGCAGACTATAGTCCCAGACCAGGTGTGTATTGCACTGTAAGTTGGCCAGTTATTATGCTTGCAAAATTGATTTTATATGAGTATCAACAGGACACAGTTTTTTTTTTTTTTCAGGTAGCATATCTGTGGTTCATAGAACCAATAGCCAAAATCATTCTCTGGCTAGAAACTTTTAAAGTACAATGGCTTACTAAAATGAACTGAGGTACTCATAATCCCACAAGTCTTCTATGCAGGAAAGAAAGCATGTAACAAGAGATAAAAGGCAGTGAAACTCAGGTTCCCTGGGTATTCACAGTGCTAATATTTCTCAGAAAAAAATGCAGCTTTCTAAATGGCTCTTTTCATGAAGTATTTCTCCTAAAAATTAGCAGGTAGTGTATCATGGACTAGATAAAATGATAAATCCTTACACAAACTAATTTTTTTTCATTATCAGCATTTATTTCAATGTGCGCCATGACAGTTTTCCCTCTCAGGAATTTTTTTTTGTTGAATTTTATTGAAAACCCTAAATTTTTTGATTATTGAAAATGTCCAGATAAATACTGAATCATTTTCCCACACAGTATCACTAAAGCTAATATATACTGAATTTCCTCTCTTTTCCTATACCATGAATCCAGTTCATTTAAGCAAATCACTTTGGTCACATTGTATTACTTCTTATAACCTCCTCTGCTGATCCATCTAAGACCAGGCACTTTCTTTGTCCTGGGTAATACTGACAGCTTCTTGATGTATCTATTCCTCTTTAAGCTCCAGAACTGTTTTCTTTATACACAAGTCAGACTAATTTTTTCTGCCAAGCCCTGGGGGGGGGGGGGAGAGGCTTGAGCTTCTGGGCCTAGGCACTGCCTCCCAAGCTTCTTTGTGCTTACGGGTGGCACTCTACCACTTGAGCCACAGTGCCATTTCTGGCTTTTTCTAAGTAGCTTACTGGAGATTAGAGACTCACAGACTTTCCTGCCTGGGCTGGCTATGAACCACAATCCTCAGATCTCAGCTTCCTGAGTAGCTAGGATTAGGTGTAAGCCACCAGTACCCAGCTGTAATTTTTTTTTTTACAAACTTTAAGTCATATATATTTCGTCAGTCATTTGTTCATAACCATCGAATGACTTTAGTCCTACTAAGACCAAATTTCCAAGTCCTTATCATAGCCTGCAAAGCTCCACATAGCTTACCACCTCCTTCAGTGGTCTCTCATCTCATCTCCTTAGCCATTCTGTTCCTGCCACTATGGCTTCTTTTCTGTTTTTCAAACACCTCAAGCAGGTTTCTATCCTAGGGTCTTTTACTCACAATTCTCTGGGTTTTTAAATTTTTATTTATTTTTATTTTTTTATCTGATGCTGGGAATCAAACCCAGGGCCTTACATTTGCTGTTACCACTGAGCTACACCAAGTTCATCACTCTTTCTGAAGAGAATGCTCACATGACTTGCTCTTTTGTCTCATTCAGTTGTTTCTCCAAAAGCTATGTCCTCAAAGATATCTTCCTTGACCACTCTAACTAAAATAGTATCCTCGACATTCTCACCTTGCTTTTATTCTTCAATATGATACACTGACAACATTTATTATCTGTTTCCCACACTAGAATACAAACTTTGTGGGAGGCAGAATGTTGTTCACTGCTATTTCTTCAGCCAATTAGTATTTAGCAGGAACCGATCAACTATTCAGCATGTATTTGCAAAATGGTGAAAGAAAATTCCGGTTCAATGATCAGTTTGCTATTTCCGTAAGTTTCAGTTGACTTTAACACTGTGACACTATCACCAAAGACTGAAAATTTAACTTTTCAAAAGACCTCTAAGTATCTCCCTTTAATTTAATTTCATTTAGCCATATACCCTCTGCCATGAAGAATTCAGAGAGAAGTGAGAGATAGCCCTTGGCTCCTGTCCCAGCAAATAGGGGCATGTACCTAGAAATACCTGAAAAAATAGGTCTAATCTCAACGTATCAGCCAGTGTGATCCTTTTAGAATAAATCATCTTATTAAAACTAACAGTTGGGCATAGGGGTATACACCTATTATCCCAGCACTTTGGAGGCTGAGATAGGATATATCTGAGTTCAAGGCCAGCCTCAGCAAGACCCTGTTGGAAAACCAACCAACCAGCCAAACAACCAAATTGAAATCAGAGTGGTACAACCCTTACAACAGCACTCTGTTTCTCTCAGAATGTTATGAGGAGTTCTTTGGGCAGGCTGAGAGGTCTTACAAGACCCGGCCTATTATCTTTCTGGCCTCATCTTTCATTCTTATCCATCCTAAGCTCTACACTGGCCTATTTTTTCCTTAAACAGAAAAAGCATTTTCTTGCTTCAGGACATGTGTACCCTTCATTTCATGTGTACTGGCTGTTTCTCTGCTTAAAATGTCCCTCACCTAAAAATCTCCACTGCTAACTCCTCCAAGTTTGCTCAAACATTACTTTCCTAATGAGGCTCACAGCTTGATCCTTCTATTTAAAGTCATAACCCAGTGCCTGGTGCCCTTTATTGAACTCTACTGTCAATATGTCAACTGATCCTTATCTGGCAATGCTGAAGCTCAATCAGAGCAGTCCTCAGTGAAGAGGAAATCATGCTATAGTTCAGCCAGTTACCCAGAGAGGAAGACAACTGTACCATAAAATCATCACAAAAACTTAAAGTCAGAGACCAAGTCATACTGAGAGATACTTGGTATGACTGAAAAGATATAAATAACACTTGCCACTGGATTGATTTGTGATACCTACAGACCCAACTACTATGGTTTGGAAAATACATTTAGGGAGATCAAGTTCAATAAAAGAGAAATAGGAAAGAAGAAACCATAGTATTTGATAGACACATTCTTGGACAACTGTATTAGTTGTCCTAGCTCACATATCTTTCTCCCTTGACTTTTTCCATGGACTAACCTATTTATCTCATCTTTATGTAAATTCAAATATTCTCATAATACTGACTGCTATTCTGACTCATGTTCATTATATCTTGTGGTTTTTAGTTTAGCTCTCAATTCTAAACAGAAGGAGATAATAACTTGTAGTATAAGTATCAACTATGAGTGAAAGAAAGCAATCATTTGATTTGTTTTGTTTTGTGGGAAGTGGGGGCTCAAACCTAGGGTCTGGTCTATGCTAAGCAAGTTGGTACTATGTTAAGACAATCTTTGAAATGATTTTTTTTTTTTTTGTCGGTCGTGGGGCTTGAATTCTGGGCCTGGGCACTGTCCTTCAGCTCTTCAGCTCAAGGCGAGCGCTCTACCACTTGAGCTACAGCGCCACTTCCTTTGAAATGATTTAAACTGAGATACACTAAAGTATACTATATGTGATCAACTGTGCTAGGACAGTCATGTTTAGGATGGCTGATGACCTTAATCAGTTTTTTGTTTTTGTTTTTTTCTTGCAAAGGAGAGAAAAAAACATTGAAAATGTCCCAATAATGACCAATAATGATCTTACCACGTCGATCTCCGTGTTGGAATGTCCCATATTACAAACAATGCAGCTATTCTTCATTCGGTCCAAGTGCTCCCTGGTTACCACATTCTTATTACCTTAAAAAAAGACAGCCACATGTAAAGGAATGACATTGGACCCTCTACCTCATACAATATATATAAAATAAGCTCCAAATAGGTCATACACCTAGCTATAAGAATTAAAACTATAGAGCTCTTAAAAGAATACTGGAGTAGATCTTTGTGACCTTGAGTCAGGCAACCATTTACTTAGCTGTAAGTATGCTTAGATATGCTTAAGGTTAAGCTGGGCACCAGTGGCTCACACCTGCAATCCTAGCTACTCAAGAGCTGAGATCCATGAGACTCTTATCTCCAATAAACCACTCAGAAAACTGGAAGTGGAGCAGTGGCTCAAGTGGTAGAGTGCCAGCCTTGAGCTGAAGAGCTGAAGGACAGCATTCAGGCCCAGAATTCAAGCCCATGATCGACAAAAAATAATAAATAAGTGTGTTTGTGTGTGTGTGTGTGTGTGTGTGTGTGTATGCTTAAGGTTAAGCATAGCAACAAAAGAAATAGATACACTACACTATTTCGCCTTTTGTATCAGGCACCAGTAGCTCACACCTATAATCCTAGCCACTCAGGATCACAGTTCAAAGCCAGCCCAGTCAGGAAAGTCCATGAAACTCTTATCTCTAATTAATAATAAAAAAAAGTAGATCTGTGGTTCATGTTGTAGAGTGCTAACCTTGAGCAAAAAAGTTCCGGGACAGTGCCTAGGCCTTGAGTTCAAGTCTCAGGAGCACGCACACACACAAAAAGAAAAAAAGATTACTGCGGAGAAAACTATCCTTGAATATGGGCAGAAACACCTTATATGCTAAAGGCCCAGACAGAGTAAAAGAGAAAGCTGACTCTTCAGGCTTGCCTCTTGTGTTTCCTGGCTGCCAGGATGTGTGAGCCACTTTGCTCTGCAAAGTTTTCTAACCATGATGGACTGAAGTATCAGAAACTGCGAGCAAAACAAATCTTTCCTTCCTTAAGTCACTTGTAAGATATTTTGTCACAGCAATGTAAAGTCTCACTATCACATTCCATGAAATCATTTGCAAATGCCATCCCATTTAATGACACAAGCATACCTGTACAGGTAATCACTATGTCCACTTGTCGAATAACCTCATTTAATTTCACCAGTCGAAATCCATCCATACTGTAGAAATAAAACACAATCATAAAGAAATATGTAGTACAATAAAGAGGCATGTGGAGAGTCTTTTGCTACGGAACGTCAAAAGCTACTACCAAGTTTCTCTAGTATAGAGTGATTGAGATAGCTCAGTTTTTTGTATTAGTGAAACCATTTCCTTAGTTTCATATGAGAGAAATGAAGGGTTCCTTCATATCATTGGAACGTGTTTCTTACTCATTCTAGGGAACCAAAGTTACCATATGATTTACCAAACAAGTTTCTAAAAAGTGCCACTTAGCCATTGGGTCTGCACTCCTAAAATCACTACTGTAACTCCTGAATGTCAGAGCAAAAGATCTTTCTTAAACTCTTAAATGACTTGACTTCTGTTACATTAAACATTGTTTTTCAAAATGTATATTTGAGCTTCATGATAACATTTTTCTCCTGATTTTTCTCAAACTGCTCTAGTGGTGCTAGAGGTCAAACCCAGGACCTTGTGCATGCCAGGCAAGTATACTACCACTGAGTGTATCCCCAGCCCTTTCCTACTTTACTCTGTAGGGTTCTTCCCTAGACTCTCATCTAGTCTTTCAATACATTCACATTCTAACCTTGATTATCAATTTTCTTTCTTTCTTTCTTTTTTTAAACTATTTTTGCCAGGTACTGGTGGCTCACACCTATAATCCTAGCTACTCAGGAGGCTGAGATCTGAGGATCCTAGTTCAAAGCCAGCCCGGACAGGAAACTACGTGAGACTCTTATCTCCAATATATCACCAAAAAACCGCAAGTGGTAGAGTGCTAGCCTTGAGCTGAAGAGCTCAGGGACAGCGCCCAGGCCCAGAATTCAAGCTTTTAAGTAGTTATGCAAAGGAGTTGACATTTAACAAAATTCTACTTTCTTAATTCCTTAAAAATTGCTTCAATGGGTCCCTTCTCTATATAGCTGGCCTTGTATAAGTTGGGGTATTATTATTATTATTATTATTTTTTTGTCGGTCGTGGGGCTTGAACTCTGGGCCTGGGCGCTGCCCCTCAGCTCTTCAGCTCAAGGCGAGCGCTCTACCACTTGAGCTACAGTGCCACTTCCGGTTTTCTGGTGGTTTATTGGAGATAGGAGTCTCACAGTCTCTCCTGCCCGGGCTGGCTTTGAACCGCGATCCTCAGATCTCAGCCTCCTGAGTAGTTAGGATTACAGGCGTGAGCCACCAGCGCCCGGCTAAGTTGGGGTATTATTGTTAGCTAGATTACTTCAGTAACTTTTGTCCCAATTTCATTTACCTCTAGGTTTATATCTTTCAAAATAATTTTTTGAAATGATTTCTCTAAATTCAATGGGAACTATCAGTTCCATCCTCTGTGAGATTGCCTGTCTTTGGTGTAAGACCTAAATACTTATATTTGCAAATGATTCCTAATTCTAATATATTTTTTTTGTTGGTCATGGGGCTTGAACTCTGGGCTTGGGTGCCATTCCTGGGCTCTTCAGCTCAAGGCTAGAGCTCTACAGCTTTACCCACAGCTCCATTTCTAGTTTTCTAGTGGTTTATTGGAGGTAAGAGTCTCACAGACTTTCCTGCCTGGGCTGGTTTTGAACCATGATTCTTAGATCTCAGCCTCTTGAGTAGCCAGGATTACAGGCGTGAGCCACTGGTGCCTGGCCTCAAATATTATAGTCCCAAATCTATCCTATCTGCCAGCAACATTCAAATATTTGCAGCTTCTTAAATATGTGTGCTAGCCTCTTTGGAGATTCTGCACTTGTTACTTGCACCTGGCACACACTTTTAAACTAAGGAAACATTTGTAGAAGTTTTAAGACAGCTTTACTAACACCTCTGTCTACCTCTGTTCTTTAAGACATTTCTTCTTTGTGTGCCTATAGAAGTATATGCCATTTACCTCAAAGACAATGGTTACTACATTATACAGTGGTTATTTATTTCTGTTCTCCTAAAAGCAAGGCCTTGTCTCAGTCATCTATTAAGCTTTTTTGTGCTAGTTTAAGGCTTGAAATCTGGGCCTTGTGCTTGTTTGGTTGGTGCTCTACTACATGAGTCATGACTAACAGACATTTTTGCCTGGGCTGGCTTAAAACTGCAATCCTTCCAGATCTCAGCCTTGTGAGTAACTAAGACTAGAGTTGTGATCCACCAGTCCGTAGCCTCAACAATTTAATCATATTCATTATTAGCACATAGAATAGTACATAGTCACACACATAAGTTCTCAATTTATGGGTTCGTAATAACCTCACCCATAGTGCAATCAGTATGATGTTCAGGTTTCTGTAATGAAACTTGAGGGTACTAGTAGGGTGTTGGTTCCCCTCATATGAAGCCTTGACTCAGGTAAAACCAGCAATTCTGTTCGGAAATCTGTGTGTTTATGGCTAAATGTATGAGGACTGGTAAGACAGGGAGAAAGTATACACTTTCAAGTCATCTTTATTCTTTCGGGGAACCTTTGGAGGATTGCTTTGAAGACTGTGTATATAGGATACAGACACACGTGGACTGCAGTAGTTTATAGCAACAGCGACATTTTCCATTCTGCTGAGAATGGAAAGATAATTTTAACAATAGCTACCACGTAATAAGAATCTATTTTGTGACAGAAGCTCTGAACTTTACATATTTATTACATAATATATAATAATACATAATAAAAAGCATTATTATCTTACTTAACTCTCACAACCCTCTGAGGAATGATTATCTACATTTTAAAAATGAAACAGGAACTATTCTTTTTTAACTTTTATCTCTGGCATCATGTGAAACTTAAAAATCATAAGAACAATACAAACATATCCCTATATATTCTTCACTCAAGACTTAGCAGATTTTAGCCAGTTATCAGTGTAATTGTGCATGCCTATAATCCCAGAACTGGAGGGGCTATAGCAAGAAGAGTGCAAGTTCAGAGCTGGTCTGAGCTACCTAGTAAAACCTTGTCTCAAATATGCAAAACAAAAAAAGTTGGCAGATTTTACCCTTAATTTGAATTTGTCTGATGCTTCCTCATGTTTAGATTCAAATCGTACATTTTTGGGAATAAGGCCACAACAAAAGGGTTCTTTTCCATGTAACATATCAGAAACCACAGGACTCCAGCCTATATTTTTCTTCTTCCTCCTCTTCCTACTTTCCCTTTCCCCTCCTCCCCTTTCTCCTCCTCCTGCTTCATGCTGAGGATTGGTATATGCTCTACCATTTAGCTATACCCCTAACACTCTTCCTTTTCTTCTTCTGATCTTTCTTTCTTTCCCTTTTCAAAATGGCAGGTATTACATGTAGAAATTTGGAGACTCAAAACACCCCCAATTACTATTTGTATAGTAATTCCAAATTTTAGCTTCTCTGAGAGCAGATCTCTGTGGCATTTGAAAGACACAAGCTGAGAATTATGGCAGCCTCTTCAGGGTAGAGGTCTTCTCAGATGCAGTGTGGCATAACCCATGCCAGTCTTTGGATGGTATGCAAGAATGTGGTATCAGGGAGGAGGCAGGTCTTCCTGTAAGCTTACCAGGCTTGTAGAGCACAGATGGGGTCGATCTCAGTTACATACACAATGGAACCCATGGCCTTCAGAGCAGCACAGCACCCCTTCCCCACCTGACCACGGAGAGAGCATACAAGAAGCAAAGTCAGTGAGGAAACTGTTCTTAAAACTCCTGGTGATTCTGGGTGCCGGTTGTTCTTAAAACTCTGGGTAATATCATGTGCCGGGGGCTCATGCCTATAATCCTAGCTACTCCGAAGGCTAAGATCTGAGGACAGCAGTTCAAAGCCAGCCCCAGGCAGGAAAGTTTGTGAGACTCTTATCTCCAATTAACCACAAGAAAACCAGAAGTGGCGCTGAGGCTCAAGTGATAGAGTGCTAGCCTTGAGCTGAAGAGCTCAGGGACAGCACCCAGGCCCAGAGTTCAAGCCCCATGGCTGACAAAAAACAAACAAAAACTCCTGGTAAAGTGTAACTTTTCTGTCCCTCAGAGAAACTTCACTGAGCAGATGCATGCTTAGGAAAAGACAAATAAATGTAGTTCATAAACAAATCCCTGGCCCCTCCTTAGCACATTCATATGTATAAGGACACCCACACTCACGATTTATAATCAAAACATAAGCTAAAAGAGCATCACAAATAGTACTGCTAGAACAAGTCAGAAAATCAACAAGAATAAAATGTAAAGGAAAAAGGAGAGGTTGTACTTTCACCAGAGGGCTTCTAAAGTTATTTTTCCTCCATGAAAGTACATATACTCTTATGTATTTATAGAAAATTTTCGAATATGTAAACCAACACCTTAAACACCTAAAAAATGAAAAGTTAAACTTTACCTCTCCATAGCCACAGACCACCACTTGTTTTCCACCAAACATCATGTCTGTTGTCCTTTTAAGTCTACAGGGAATATAAACAAAACAAATAATTATGTCAGAAAAAAAACCAAAACACCATCTTGTTTTGCTGAAGTTAAATTGAGTCTCTCTGTTTATAGTTTTATTGTTTGTTTTGTGTTACTACTGTGGCTTGAACTCAGGGTCTCTAGCTGTTACTCAGCTTTTTTCACTCAAGACTGGCTCTCTACCACTGACCCTCTACCTTTACTTCTGGATTTTTTTTTTCCTCTTGTTTTGGAGAGATATAGAGTCTCATAGATTAGGCTGGTTTCAAACTGAGATTCTCAGAACTCAGCTTCCTGAGTAGCTAGGATTATAGACACTATTTATGCTAACTAATATTTGTAAATCTTTCTACTAATTTATCTGGTTAATCCCTAAGCTACTGGGGACTTGGTTCTATGGGGAGGCAATGGAAACTTTAAGAGGAGGGCCCCAGTGCAAGGTCTTCTAGACCCTGTAGCATGTGCATGAGGGCAGTAGTAGGACAGACCCTTATTCTGACTCACTCTTCATATCCCAGACATGAGGTAAGCAGATTTACTACATCATGTTCCCCATCCTGATGTGCTACTTTACCATAGACTAAAAAGCAATGGGGTCAACTGACTATAGACTAAAACCACTTAAACTGTGAGCCAAATACAGCCTTTCTTTTCATAAGTTAATATCTCAGATATTTGTTACAGTAACAGAAAGCTAACTAACACAGGGGGCCTTCTTTTTTTTTTTTGCCAGTCGTGGGGCCTGAACTCTGGGCCTGGGCACTGTCCCTCAGCTCTTCAGCTCATGGCTAGAGCTCTACCATTTGAGCCACAGCGCCACTTCTAGCTTTTTCTGCTTATGTGGTGCTGAAGAATCGAACCCAGGGCCTCGTGCTTGCAAGGCATGCATTCTACCACTGAGCTACCTTCCCAATCCCACAGGGGGCCTTCTTAACAACAATGAAGGAATGACAACTATGGAAACAGTAATGAAAGAACTCAGTATTTGATACACACTGGTATATATTGTCAGACTTTTAATCATTATAGATCTGAAAAACTAAAATGTCCTTAGGAATTAACTCTACTCACCACAAGAATATGAGCCAGGCACCACTGGCTCCTGCCTATAGGCTGAGATCTAAGGATTAAGATTCAAAGCCAGCCCAGGCAGGAAAGATCATGAGACTCTTATCTCTAATTAATCATCAAAAAGCTGGAGGTAGAGTAATGGTGCAAGTAGTAGAGTGCCAGCCTTGAATGAAAAAGCTAAGGAACAGCACTCGGGCTCTGAGTTCAAGCCCCAGTACCAGCACCAAAAAAACAAAGCAAAACAAATCAATTATATGACATGAGACATAACTTGAAACAGGATCACCTTTTCCCAAACCATCTTTATACTGACTTTAGTTGATGACTAATAGGCCTGACAAGATCACAAAGTAAAAATTCTATCAATAGTTATGAGCAAGTCTCATTTCTTAAGTGAAGTAGATTTTCTTATAATAGTGATAGCCACATAGCTCTGGGTTATAAAATACTGGGAGTGATGTGGTATTAGATCCAGGGGTGACTTATGAATCATTTCCAGAAATAACTAAAGCTAAAAAAAAAATAAGAGACTTAACACTTCAAGTTCATCTCAAAGATAACGAACATTACCCATCAAGAATTGATTCTCTGCAGCAGTAGAGGTTGTCAAATTTCTGCTTGGTGACTGAGTCATTGACATTCATGGCTGGAACACATAGTTTCCCGGCTTTGGACAGTTGGTAAAGTCTAGAGACAAGGAAAGACACATACAACTATGAGACAATACTATCTATTGTTGGTTTATTATCAAAGCCCAGAATATGTTGACGGGGTGGGCATGAGAGCATGAGACATAACTGTTTTCACTCTATTAAGGTAGATGATGAGAATGTGTTTCTACAAGCTATATCCAGCCACAGTCACACACATATACAGTCATAGTGTACTCAGAATTTTCTCCCTAAAAATTATTTCATGCTTTCAGTTCTTTAAGAGTGAGTAACAGCAAATAGAAATAATTTGATCAATTTTACTTAAGGAATGACTGCTCATTTGTGAACAGAACACTAAATCCTGGCTATGGGATTGTGTAAGTTCTGTGAAAGCATAGGATTTGGTCTGTTTTGTCTACTGTTAGGTCCCCAGTGCCCACAGTAGCTTCTGGCTCCCTATAGAAATTCAATGCATATTTGTTGAATAAACAATTTGTCCAAAAATGATAAGCAGTCATTGCTTACAAAAACTATAACATCTAAGAACACCATTTGTTCCCCTAGTTGACACTCCCTCAATGTTTTAGCTCAGTTATTTGTGTTAGTAATTAAAAACAAGTGTTTAGGCTCAGATCCGGTCACCTATATGATATACAGAATGTGATGCTATGTCAAGGCTGCATGAAGAAAGACAGGATACCCATGTTAAATCTTACCTATGAACACCAGTAACACTTTCCTCAACTATGCCCTTGATTTTCTTAAACATGTTGGGATACTTTTTATAAATCCAGTGAGTAAGATCTCCTCCATCATCCAAGATCTGAAACAGTAAGCATCAGTCATGTCATTCATTTTACTGAAGGTTAGGCTTCAGTGCTTTTGGGTCTTGTGTTCTACTTTCTAATCACCAACTTAGATACTTCAAATTTCCCATATGGTTTTGTGAACTGACTTAAAGGCAGAGCTAATACAATAATCTACCAAATCAGTCATTATACTCAAAGGAAAAGATGAGGGATAAGAGATTAATCCTCATTCTCACAACCAAATGACTCTTTCACATTATACTGTATCCAAATACTTGGTAAGGGGCTGGGAAGGTGGCTCAGTGGTAGAGTGCTTGCCTTGCATGCATGAGGCCCTGGGTTCGATTCCTCAGCACCACATAAGCAAAAAAAGCTGGAAGTGGTGCTGTGGCTCAAGTGGTAGAGCACTAGCCTTGAGCTGAAGAGCTGAGGAGCAGTGCCCAGACCCAGAGTTCAGGCACCATGACTGGCAAAAAAACAAAACAAATACTTGGTAAGAGCAATGAGGGTTTTCTTATGTACTGAAATCCAGTAGAAATCCAGACCATTTATCTTTTTTTTTATTTAAGTAAATATGTCAACTTTTAAATTTAGTGCATCCATGAAAAAAAAAACAGTTACTGATTCAGAGTATTTTATTTATTTATTTACTGTTGGTTGTGGAGCTTGAACTCGGCCTAGGCACTGTCCCTCAGCTCTTTAGCTCAAGGCTAGCATTTTACCACTTGAGCTACAGTGCACCTTTGGCTTTTTCTGTTTATGTGGTGCTGAGGAATCGAACCCAGGGCCTCATGCATGTGAGGCAAGCACTCTACCACTGAGTCACCTTCCCAGCCCCCTGATTCAGAGTATTTTAAAGTTTAATTAATTACTCAAGACAAGATTTCACTATGTAGCCTAGGTGGCCTTGAACTTGGTCCTCCTGCCTCAGCTGCTTCTGAGTATTGCCATTATAAGAGCAGGCCACCACATCTGGCTTGAAGGAATATTTGAGGAACTGGTTATTTAAAGACTTAAAGAAAAAAAATTAGATTAAGATTAGACCATTAGTTCTTGAATGTACTTAGAAATCTTTAAAAAGCCTAAATTTAATAGAACCAATTCCTATTGGTTAAATTTGGAACTTGAAGTATATTTGGTCAAGGCTTAGTTTTAATAAAAGGAGAGAGAATTAGTCTCTTTCTCAGAACAATAGCTTTAAGCTGTATTTGTTAATCTTTTATTTCTCCTAAAGTGCATGCACTCTCCCACTTGACATATGAGGCAGCACTGTAGGGTTTTGCTTAGCACAACCTCACACTCTGTATAAACCAAATTAAAAATAACCAGGGAACCGTGCAGCATGTAGGTGTGCAAGCATGCCTCATCACTATTTCAGGTTGGGATTAAAGATAAACACAATGCTGTGCCCACTGGAGCTTTGCTGAGCAGCGGAAAGTTTCTGAATTATAAATAAGCTAAAGAAAGTCCAGTGTAGAATGCCATCAGGCACTGGGCTATGGTATTTCAGCCTTTCATGAAGTTATTGCAAGACTTTGCAACTTGTTCCACCCATTCTTTTGGAAAGTCCCCACAAAACAAAGTTGCCCTCTGATGCTATGCATCCATTTCACAGTTTCTCCTTCTACAAGTACCAAATATGCCATCCAGGACATCATGGCACACAAAATCCCCAACCTTCAGATAATTATCTGGTCTCTTCTCTTCTTCTGCTTCCACTATTGATCTATTTTCTTTGACTCAGTCAAATCTTATTTGAAAGAGAAGCCCAAGGTTAAGACTCTCATTAGAGCTCTTATTGTTGTTCTACACTTTGGTCAGAACCCACACCAAAGTATTCTGTGAGTTTCTTCCTTCCTTTTTGCATGTACATGATCTATGCGCTTTTTTCTTGTCGTTGTTCATCTTCAACCATAAAATAGATCAGAAACAAAACACAAAAAAATTAAGTATTGGAAACTCTGTGTTTTAAGTCTCATTTTACTTTTCCCTATTAACAAAGGTATCTAGCCATGTGTGGTGGCACATGCCTGTAATACTAGCTACTGGGGAGGTGATAGAGGAATTCTGAATACCAGGCTAGACCAAGCAATGTTAGCAAGACTATCTCAAGTGGTCCAGTGCTTCAATGAGGCCCTGGATTCAATTCCTGACATAGGAGGAGGGAGTGGTGATATCTAAATAGGAAGGTAGTTGCTATCCATATATTTAGCTAATGAATTAACTCCATAATTTCCCCAAGGTGATTTTATTACAGAAAATTTTGGTTATCAGACAATCTTCCTAAGATTGGAAAGGAAGAAATCCAAAAAAGTATGGAATCTGTTTAGAGTGTATGAACTGTTTTTGTTCTTGTCCGATTTTCTTCATTAACCTTGTCTGCAATCTGTGCTGAACCCACAGTTTGTACAAGCTCTCTGGGCACAATTCTATATCTTCCTCATGTTCCTGACTATAAAATTAAGTGTTTTATTCCCAGGAGAACCCCCCTGGTATATCTTCTTATTGTCTGTCAGTCAGACATCATCCTGTCACTGACTCATCTTGGAGTCACTGTCACTCCCCTCCCCTTGGATCTGAAGGCTTTAACCTAGCTTTCTCAAACCAGCACATGGCACCCTGTGACCTAGACCACAGGCTACAGAAGAGGCTTCCTCTTTAATGTTTACTAGCTGAGGCCTACACTATCACCTTTATCAGCAGTCATTTTTCTTCCAGTTGATTCCCTTATTTCTCCTCTTACTAATGTGCAGAAAAACTTGTCAATCAGGACTGCCTCATACTTTGTGTAGCCTTTTGTTCCTTGAATCTGATGTCATATTAAGCCTGCAAAAATGATTATTTTGTTATTGTTTTCAAGACTGAGGATTTATGCATGCTAAGTAAGTGTTCTACCACTGAGTTATACTCCAGCTCTAGATGTGATTTTCTGAAAAGTGAAATAAAGGTCAAGTATGGTGATATGTCTATAATCCCAGTTACTTGGGAGAAGTAGGATTGCAGTTTGAGTCTAGTTGAACAAAAAGTTAGAGAGACTCTATCTCAAAAACAAGTTGAATGGGGCTGGGAAGGTAGCTCAGTGGTAGAGTGCTTGCCTTGCATGCATGAAGCCCTGGGTTCGATTCCTCAGCATCACATAAGCAGAAAAAGTTGGAAGTGGTGCGATAGCTCAAGTGGTAGAGTGCCAGCCTTGAGCTGAAGAGCTGAGGGACAGCGCCCAGGCCCAGAGTTTAGGCCCCATGATGGACAAAAAAAAACAAAAAACAAAAGAACAACTCTACTACCTACTACCAAGGTAGTAGAAGGCTGACCCAGGCAGCACAAGTTCTCAATGGGGACATGGTTCAAGTGGTAGAGTTCTTTCCTAGCAAATATGAAGTCTTGAGTTCAATCTGTAATACTGCCAAAATAAACAGAAATAAAATAAAGTAAAAAATGAAGCAAGCATAACAAACACAAAACTACCTGGTTCTATTTCTTAAAAAAAAAAAAATTTTTTTTTGGTTTGTTGTGGGCTTGAACTCAGGGGCCTGAGCAATTTCCCTGAGCTCTTCTGCTCAAGGCTAGCACTCTACCACTTTAAGCCACAACACTACTTCCAGTTTTCTGGTGGTTAATTGGAGATAAGAGTCTCATAGACTTTTCTGCCCAGGCTGGCTTCAAACCATGATCCTTAGATCACAGCCTGCTGAGGAGCTAGGATTTACAGCCATGCGTACCAGCACCCTGCTTTTTAAAAATTTTGTTTAAATTATTATTATAAAGGTGATATACAAAGGGGTTACATACGTATGTTACCATTACATACGTCAAATGAAGAGTATATTTCTTTTTGGACAATGTCACCCCAGGTTCTTTTTTTTTTTTTTGGTTGGTTGTGGGGCTTGAACTCTAGGTCTGGGTGCTGTCCCCGAGCTTCAGCTCAAGACTAGTGCTCTACTATTTGAGCCACACGCCACTTCCTGTTTTCTGGTGGTTAATTGGAGATCAGAGTCTCATGGACCTTCGGGCTCAGGCTGGCTTTGAACCACAATCCTCAGATCTCAGCTTCCTGAGTAGCTAGGATTGCAGTCATAAGCCACCAGCACCTGGCTCCAGGTTTATTTTTTAAAGGTAGGAAATCAAAGAAGAAAGGAAATTTGAACTTGGAAGCTTTTCAGATTTTCTGTTAACTTAGTAAATGTATTCTAGAAAGAAAGCTAAGTCTCTTAGTAATAAAGGGCTTCCTTTGGTGTTTGTTATGGAGGGGATTATGTGTAGTGACAAGAGATGGAAAAGCATTAATCTTGCTCCTTTTAATCAGTCATATGTGAATCTTGAGCAACATTATAAGATTACTAGTGAAATGAATACTTCCAACAACAAAACTAACAATTAAGGCATTTTCCTTTTTTTCTTTTCCATTTTTTTTTTTTTTTTTTGGAGACAAGGTCTTGTTATGTAACCAAAGGTGGAGTAGAACTCAGTATATAACCCAGGTTGGTACTAAACTCATAATCTTTTTTTTTTTTTTTGGTCATAGGGGCTAAACTCTGGGTCTGGGCACTGTCCCTTAGCTCTTCAGCTCAAGGATAGCACCATACCACTTGAGCCACAGCGTCACTTCTGGCTTTTTTCTGCTTATGTGGTGCTAAGGAATTGAACCCAGGGTCTCATGCCTGGAAAGTAAGCACTCTACCACTGAGCCAACTTCCCAGCCCTCTAAACTCAAAATCTTTTTGTCTTAGCCTCCTTAGTGTTCAGATTGTCATGTGCTAGCATATTTGGCTAGTTAAGGCACTTCTGAAGATATAAGAGATTCAGTATTCTTTGTGGTTTTTTGTTTTGTTTTGTTGGCTGTGGGGCTTGAACTCAGGGCTTAGGCGCCGTCCCTGAGCCTCTTCGTATTCAAGGCTAGAACTCTACTATTTGAGCCATAGCACCACTTCCAGTTTTTGAGTGGTTAATTGGAAATAACAGTCTCACATGGACTTTTCTGCCTGGGCTGGCTTTAAACCATGATCCTAAGATCTCAGCCTCCTGAGTAATTAGGATTATAGGTGTAAGCCACCAATACCCAGCAGTTCAGTATTCTTGAAGTTGAGTTCTATTGGAAACCCAAGATTAGCGGAATTGGAACCATTTATCTTTTATGTTATTGGGTTATCCTCTCCTTGGCTACAGTCTCCTTCTACCATCACCCCTGCCTCTGATAGAATGGTGTTGACAGAAATCTGACCTACCATGTTTGGCTGCCAGCCTTCAACATTCACACATCTGTCAATGCACCACCAAAAGTCATCTTCAGACTCTCCTTTCCAGGCAAAGACAGGAAATCCTATAATAAAAGGGATAAGGAAAAAACTATTAAAGGTTATAAAAATAGCTGACTCCCACATTTTGGCAAGAAGGTGCTGGTTTCCCCATCCTAAAACCCTTTCTTTCTCCTATATTCCTTGAGTTGACTTTCTTCTCTAATTAGCATTGCTTGCGGCCCTTTTATTCATTCCTTTGTCTTTAGTGGTCATTCTCCTCTTGTTAGCTCAAAGAGAACAAACATAACAGATAAGAGTATAATGGTGGCTAAAAGTATGACTAAAAGAACAGAACAGAAATAACTAGTTGATACAGACTGGTCTTCTCGTCCTTTCCCAATCTATTCTGATTTTTCTTGTTTCTATACTTTAGTTACTCCAACTTCCTTGCCAGGAAAACATACTCTGTTAATAAATCTGCTTCATGTCATATCCTAATGAAATGTCATGCTTCCTTATAAAGCCTGCTTAGCTAGCTAGAAGTGAGCTCTACAGGAATATGAACTAAGTCTATTATTTGTGTTCTACTGAATATGGTTTTTATGCTATGTTGTGACATTTATCATATATATTATGATTATATTATCATTTCTCATATGTATTATTGAATTATCATTACTTCTGTAAGTATATAGTTTTATCTACCACAATATAATATTCTGAGGACAAAGATATCATCTCATTTGTTCCTTTAGCTCTTAGAGTAAGTCAGAAGCATCTGTTGAAGGAAAAAAGAACAAATGAATGTATAATGTTCAATTCTTTGGGTTATACTTTTAATATTGTACTTTCCCATCAATAAATATACATCAATAAATATTATAAATAAATGGATATAAATGAAATAAAAATGAAATGCAAAGAGTGATAGCAAAAGAAGAGATTGCATTATTGGATTTTCCAGTATTCCCAGGAGCTCTGGGACAAATGTTTGGTACCAGTGTATCACACTGCCTGAGAGTAAAGGCAAAAGGCTGGTAGAGTCCAAATTTCTCTTTCTTTTTCTCTCCCCTCCTCCCCTCTCTCTCTTGATTGGTCTGTGGGGATTGAACTCAGGGCCTGGGCACTGTCCTTGAGTTTTTTTTTTTTTCTTTTGTCGGTCCTGGAGCTTGAATTCAGGGCCTGGGCACTGTTCCTAAGTTTCTGTTGCTCAAGGCTAGCATTCTACCACTTTATCCACAGCACCACTTCTGGCTTTTTCTGTGTATGTGGTACTGAGGAATTGAACCCAGGGCTTCACAAGGTAAGCACTCTACCACTGAGCCACCTTCCCAGCCCTATCCTTGAGTTCTTATGCTCAAGGCTAGTGTTCTACAACTTTGAGTCACAGCTTCACTACCAGTTTTAGTGTAGAGATAACAGTCTCACAGGGACTTTTCTGTTCCCTCTGGCTTCCAACTACAATCCTCAGATCTCAGCTTCCTAAGTAGCTAGGATTATAGGCGCAACTCTCCTGTGCTCAGATTCTCTATTTTTTTTTTTATCCTTCAAGTACCAGTGTATGTTGTGATAAAATATTAATCTGTCAGATCAAGTTCTCCTTATGGCTGACACAGAAACATTAAACATTAAGTCAGGGTAAAACATTTGCTTGAAATCCAGCAGGCCACAATACTGGGGTTAAAACAACTATATTAAAAAAATATATATTTTCTCCAACCTATATTATCTTGGATAATAAGTAGGATTTGTTGGTGCTCTATTAGTGAATCAAAGCAAAGCACCAATAACAGAGTATTAGACATAGGTAGATGTCTGTAAAGTACAAAACAATTTAAATCATGTTTGACAAGAGAAGCCCAGAAAGGGAACAAACTATCAAGAATAGGGATCTGTTTCTTCAAAGGTAGTTCCTTTACTGTCAACTTTCCTTAAAGATTTTTATAGAAACAATTAAACTTCTTGGAGGCTTACTTTAGCCATAGACATAGAGAACAATCGAAAGAGCTTACCACTTTCTGCTAGAGCAGCAGCCACTTCATTGAGAGTAGAATAGATGTTACAGGCAGCCCATCGGCACTGTGCCCCTAGAGCACCCAGAGTTTCCATAAGCACCTATTAAAGAGAAGGTGAGAAATGAACAATTCTTCGTGAAACAACTAGTTAAGACCAAGTGTATATATTTGACCAATGATTTTCAAATTGTGTTCTACAGAACCTCTTCCATGTTCTGAGTAGTTGGCAGGGCTGGGGGAAGGCTGAGCTCCATGCTTTAACCTATTTAATCTATTGGGTCTCCCAAAAAATTTGAATGAAACCAATAATTTCACACCTAACATATTTTTAGTATAAAACAATCTTATAGTTCTGCTTCTGCTTAAGATACAGAAAGCAGGAAAACCTTCCACCCTAACAACAAGAAAAAGTTGGATAATCTATAAGGTCATACTTTAGCCCATCAAAGAACTCAGAACATAAAGCAACTGAACTCCAAAAAGTAATATATAAGGATATATTGCCTTTGGTGAGCTGCTATATGAGGGTAAGAAAAAGCAGTTAAAACTTTAATTAGAGGTTAAGTGTAGAAATGTGTGTCTTTAGGAATCTCTAACAGTCTCATTGTAGATACTCACAGGCAAGCTCTTTTCCAGGGGCTCCCATTTAGTGCTCACAAAAAAGATTAGGAGCAGAGGGATGTGGTTGGCTATGTTGAGATACAGGCACAAAACACACACACACACACACACACACACGTTTGAGGAAGAATGTAACAGAATTGCTGTGGTACTACCAAAAAAACCTTACTACAGATGGGAATACCTTTTACAGAGGAAAGCCTGGCAGAAACCACCTTAATCAAGGGACTGAAATATCATCAGCCAAGAGAAAAATTTAAATGATTGTGTTTAATGAAAAAAATACCATGACACATCTGTGATATTCTTACTATAGGTGCATATCTTGATCTAATAACAAGGAAATACCAGAAAAATCCAAATTCAGGATATTGCACATAATAATTCATCTGTTACACTGTGTTGATATTCATATGTTGAATTGAAACCCCTCTGTAAAACTAGTTAAAGATAATTTTTTAATAAAAACAGCTGTAATCTCCAAGAGTGTCAAGATCATGAAAATCTAAGACTAAAGACGCATGACAATTAAATTCAATATGTAACCAAGAACTGGATTGTTTTGTTATAAAAAAAATTCAGTTGGAACAATTAGTAAAACTTGAATGGGATTTGAAGATAAAATGGTAATAATGCGTCAATGTTAAGTTTCCTAATATTGATAATCTGACTGATTGTTTTTTTTTGGGGGGGGGTCCAGTAGTGGGGCCTGAACTCTGGGCGCTGTCCCTCAGCTCTTCAGCTCAAGGCTAGCGCTCTACCACTTGAGCCACAGCGCCACTTCCTGCTTTTTTTCTTTTTGCTTATGTGGTGCTGAGGAATCGAACCCAGGGCCTCATGCATGCAAGGCAAGCGCTCTACCACTGAGCCACCTTCCCAGCCCCTAATCTGACTGGTTGTATCAGAATGTTCTTGTTTGTGAAAAATATACATACAATGGATACTGGTGCCTTACATCTGTAATCCTAGCTACTTAGGAGGCTGAGATCAGAGGATCATAGTTTGATGCTACCCTGGGCAGAAAAGTCCTGAGCCTCTTTATTTCCTTAATAAACAAAAAGCTGGAAGTTGGGTTTGTCACAGTGGTACAACAACAGCTGTAAGCAAAAAAGCCAAGTGAGTCTATAAGGCCCTGAGTTCAAACACCAGTACTAGCATACAAATAAAAAAATATTATTTAAAGTAGTTTATCTACTGAGTTGATCCTGGGACCCAAAATATAAGAACATGAGTCAAGAATGCTGGCTGGCTGTTAAGGCTCAAACAAAATTGAAGGCAGGAAAGGAGGAGGTAACAGTGCTCGATAGGAAATATACTCATTACCTTACTCATGTAACTGTAACCCCTCTGTACACTGTTTTTACAATTAAAAAAAAGTATTAACAAAAAAAGATTGAAGGCAGGAAGAAGGATGATAGACCTTTGGGGTCCTTAGAGGTTGAACTTCACTTTAAATTGCCATCATTTTGAAGGACAACCACGGAATGTGTTAGAAGAACTATGCAAACAGAGGAACTATATAAATAGACACACATTTACTAGAAATATGGACAGGAACCTATGATATACTGGAACATGAGCTTATAGGAGAATACCTTTCCACATTATTTTGTGGTAATGTTTGAATATGTAATTAGAAAAATAAAATAAATTAAAGAAAAAGAAAAACATTTATAAGTAATGCATTAAAATTGATAAACTAATAGTAATTATTTCATTCAGAAAAAATAGAGAGGGAACTCTAAATAGTGATAATGTTGACTCAGCATGGAGGTAAAAAACAAACTAGATATAACTTAGCAACATGATATAGTAGAGAAGCACTTACTATTTTAAGCCACCACACTGAAGCCTCATATCCCCTGACCAAGGAGGCCCAGAAAAGGTTTCAAGAATATTTCTGCCTTAATACATTATTCTGTAGCTTCAAGAAAAATAGCTTTACAATTTATGATATTAATTTGGGCAGTCAAGGTACTTTTTTCATCAGAGAACATATAACCTGGAAGCGTCAGAGTGAAGACAGAAGTTGTCTATTCTTTTTTTTTTTTTTGGTCCAGTTGTGGGGCCTGAACTCTGGGCCTGGGCGCTGTCCCTCAGCTCTTCAGCTCAAGGCTAGCGCTCTACCACTTGAGCCACAGTGCCACTTCCGGCTTTTTTCTTTCTGCTTATGTGGTGCTGAGGAATCGAACTCAGGGCCTCAGGCATGCAAGGCAAGCGCTCTACCACTGAGCCACCTTCCCAGCCCCTCTGGACATTTTTTTATTAATAAGTTTTTTATTGTGAAAATACTGTACAGAGGGTTTACAATTACATGAGCAAGTTTTTTTTTTTCTTTTTTGTCAGTTGTGGGCTTGAACACTGGGCCTGGTGCTGTCCCTCAGCTCTTCAGCTCAAGGCTAGTGCTCTACCACTCGAGCCACAGTGCCATTTCCAGTTTTCTGAGTGGTTTATTGGAGATAAGAGTCTGCCCAGGCTGGCTTTGAACAGTGATCCTCAGCTCTCAGCCTCCTGAGTAGCTAGAATTATAGGCGTGAGCCACAGTCGGCACTGGACATTATTAAAGTGAAGGATAGCAGATTACATTAAAAAACAAAACAAAAAACAAACTGAGCTGATTAAGCATAATTTTCAAATGTCCTAATGAAAGTTCACATGGGTGAAAGTGTATTTTACTGATTGACTGATTGGTGGTACAGTTACAGGTACAGGAGCAGGTGATATCCCTTCAAGGCTTCACACTTGCTTGACAATATAGTTCTATCATCTGAGCCAAACATGCTTTTTGCTTTCAGTTTATTTTTCAGAAAAAGTCTCCAAATGTATGTAGCCTTAGGCTGGGGGCTGGCCTCCACATTCTACCTACTCTAGCATCCTAAGTAGCTTGCATAAAAGCTGTGAACTATCACAACCAGCTTGTTTTTGAGATAATGTCTCTGTAATTTTTTGCCTGAACCAAGCTCCTCCTATCTCCACCTACCAAGTAAATGCACTGCCACACCTGGCTGAAAAATCTACTTGTAATTATCTGAGCTTAGAACCTAATTCTATCTTACACACTAACAAAAAGTATTTTTGTATAGTTTTAATACAAACTAGCAGGAATTCAATAATTTTGTAAATCATGAGAAAATTTATACTTCGATTTGTGGTGATTGTTCAGGAAATTACAAAGAATTGTACACTATTCAGAAAAGCATATAATTTGGTTACACTACCTTGATACTTTGAAACTAGTAACACATTTCCATCTGCCTGCATTTGTAGCAATCTCATTTAAATAAAAGTACAAGTAGTAGTACAGTATCTGATTGCATCTGATGAACATCTGAAATACATTTTATTATAAATTTCTTTTATTTCTCCTTCATATTTCATTTAAGATTTTATATGGAATTTTTGGTTTACCTTAAGAGTTTGTGTTAAAGAAAAGGAAAATATTAACTCATGATATCCATTATAGTATTTTATTTGTCCTGGTGACTTTGCAGTATCCAGTACTATCTTACAATAAGTTCTGTGGCCTAAAAATATTTACAAAGGAATAATTTATGCATCATGCACAAATTGGTTTACATATATATATATATATATATATATAGATAGATAGATAGATAGATAGATAGATAGATATATTTTACCAGTCCTGGGGCTTGAACTCAGTGCCCGGACACTATGCTTGAGCTTCTTTTGCTCAAGGCTAGTACTGTACCACTTGAGCCACATCACTACTTCTGCTTTTTCTGTTTATGCATGCTAGGCAAGCACTCTATCACTAAGCCACATTCCTAGCTCCTGGTTTACAGCTGGTTTTTTTTTGTTGTTGTTGGTTGTGGGGCCTGAACTCTGGGCCTGGGCACTGACTCTCAGCTCTTCAGCTCAAGGTTAGCGCTCTACCACTTGAGCCACAGTGCCACTTCCAGTTTTTTCTGCTTATGTGGTGCTGAGGAATAGAACCCAGGGCCTCATGTATGCAAGGCAAGCACTCTACCTCTGAGCCACCTTTCCAGCCCCTGGTTTACTGTTTTTTAACCTAAAACTGTTTGAAATTGGAAATACAAGCTTATGACCATTTGCATTTTATTTTTCTTACAGTCTTTTCACAATTAATATATCTGATAACTTTATTTTTCTTTTTTCAAACCTCCTCCCTCCTAGTTAATTTAATGAAACTAATCTGAAAAATTTCTTGTGTGAATGAGTTGGAAACACACACACACACACACACACACACACACAATATGTGATTGTGTGTGTGTGTGTGCGTGCATGTGCACGCTAGTACTGGTGCTTGAACAGAGGACATGGAAACTGTCCCTTAGCTTTTTTGCTTTACCATTGAACCACAGTTCCATTCTTGGCTTTTTGCTGGTTAACTGGTGTTAAGTCTTATGGACTTTCTTGCCTGGGCTAGCTTCCAATTGGGATCCTCATATCTCAGACTCCTGAGTAGCTAGAATTACAGGCACGAGCCACTGGCACCCAGGAAAAAAAAATACTTTTCTCATAAAAGGAGACACTTAAGTTTGCTGAAGGTTGAATCACTAGTTTAACCCACCACTCACGTAATCTAGACCCCATGCCAAGACATGGAACATGGGAATTGTGATCTAGTTCTGCCCAGTGAGATATGATGGAATACCCTGAGGACTTCTGGAAAAAGTTTCCTTGCTGTTGGGAAAGAGTCCATCTCAGTTTGTGACAATCTGCTATCAGCTTGAAAATGAAGTAAGCGAAGCGAGGAAATAGCTCCACAAGAACCAGAGAGGTAAAATGGGAGCCCTGATTCTGCATCTTAACTCTGCCTTCTTTCACAATGGACCTTAAGCTCAAGAATAAAATAATTCCTTTATGTAGATGGGACCAGGCTTTCTTTTATTTGCAGCTGAAAGCAGACCAACACAAAAGATTTCCTTATAGAAATGAAACTGAAAGAGAAGCTAAAAGGAAGCAGTATTATATAGTGTGAAAGCATCCTTAATTGTTCTGATGTGCATATCTTGATTCGGTGGTTTAGTCCTCTATAACCATGTACAAATTACTTAAGCCCTCTGACCCTGTTTCCTTGTTTACAAAATAGAAAGAGGAATATCTGCTTTATATGACATCTATACTTTATATGACTAATACTTGTTCAACTGTTAGCTAGGTGCTGGCTCATTACAAGCACTCAGTAGAGGTAGAAATTATTACTATTATTATTAATATTATTATGTGTGTCTACATGAAATGGTTTGGAGGCACCACTTCCTGAATCTTTGAATCAGTGTGGACACTGTTCATTGATACAGGAAATGAGATAAAGGCAGCTTCTTTGTATTTTAAGTGAAGCGTGAAATGACATGTGAAGATCTTGCAGAAGTCTGAAAGTAGAGACTGCTATTTGTTTATCTTTCCCAACTATACTCTTAATGACTTTGCTCTAAGGGGAAGTCTATTACCGTTTTAAGAAAGGAAAGGAAGTGGTGCTGTGGCTCAAGCAGTAGAGCTTTCACCTTGAGCTGAAGAGTGCTGGGACAGTGTCCAGGCCCAGGGTTCAAGCCCCACGACTGACAAAAAAAAAAAAAAAGCCGGGCACTGGTGGCTCATGACTGTAATCCTAGCTACTCAGAAGGCCGAGATCTGAGGATCAGGGTTCAAAGCCAGCCCAGGCAGGAAAAATCCATGAGATTCTTATCTCCAATAAACCACTTAGAAAACCAGAAGTGGTACTGTGGTTCAAGTGGTAGAGCGCTAGCCTTGAGCTGAAGGGCTGAGGGACAGTGTCCAGAGTCCAAGCCCCATGGGGGGGGGGGGTAGGAGGATGGGAAGGGGAGAAGAAGAAAGAAAGGACAGTTGTGTGCAGACTTCTTCCTGGTTATCAACCTTTTTTTTTTTGGTTGGTCATGGGGCTTGAACTCCGGACCTGGGCCACAGAGAAATTATTAACTTGTTGTTAAAAGAAGAAAGGAAAAAACTCACAGCAGTTTGAGCAGTGATGTGTGTGCAACCCACAATTTTGGCTCCAGCCAAAGGCTTTTCTCCTTGAGCTCTCTTCCTTAGAGCCATCAGTGCAGGCATTTCTGAAAAGAACGAATACAATCACAATTATTAGGAGAGAATAAACAGAAAAACTCACCCTATCAGTTTGATACTTCTCTTGATCAGGTTCTCTGTTAGATTATGTTTCCCAAGAGGTCAAGACATTAAACCTGAATTTTGTTTCTAAGAAAATTCAGACATAATTTCTCTAGAGTTGTAATGTCCCACATGCCAGTTCGCCTTATCCAGGAGTTTGTTCTAGAGACTAGACCCAGAAGTTTATACTGCCTTCTCACAGTGTTCTTTTTTTTTTTTTTGTGGGTTGTGGGGCCTGAACTCTGGGCCTGGGCTTTGTCCCTCAGATTTTCGGCTCAAGGCTAGCATTCTATCACTTGTGCCAAAGTGCCACTTCCAGCTTTTTCTGCTTATGTGGTGCTGAGGAATGGAACCCAGGGCCTCATGCATGTAAGGCAAGCACTCTACCACTGAGCCACCTTCCCAGCCCCCACAGTGTTTTGTGAGCTCAGATTCTTTTGTTGTAAGTATTCTTCAATATTACACTGAAATTTCACAAGCTACCGGATCTCAGGCAGGTAGAGAGGGAAAAAAGGTACTTGCTTTCTTTACCTTGCTCAGCAATTTCAATTTCTCTGCGTCCAAATTCTGCCTGTTTAATGTTCTTGACACAGAAGTCACTGCTTCCCTTAGAATTCTTTTGCTGCTTATCTCTGGGTGATGTCTCATCATCAGAACTGTCTGTATATGAAGCCGCTGAATGACAGAAAGAAAGAAAAGCACACATACACACTCTCTTAGAGAAAAAAATTGTATTTCTCCAAAATTCGGAACCCTGGAAGAAGTGGAAGAAATGGAGTCATTAGTGCCTCATAAATGAACATCTCTAGGAAGCACCTGTACCATGGAACTGGATTGTCCAAACCATCTGTGAAAAGTACTAGCCACAGGTCTGAAGGGGGAAGGTAAAAGAGGTTACCATAGGCATTCTCAATGGATAGTATCAATGTAGGGCTACATTTTTATTCTGGACATGTAGAGGTACTTGAATATGCAAAGGGAGAGAGGTTACAACATGATAGCAATAGGTTAAAATTTCTAATGCAAGTCGTGGCCATTTATCTGTGGGTTCCTAGGCTCACAGATACCTTTCACTATATCTGGTCCTTAAATGCTTGAAGCAATTTGTCTTTTAGTATAATAACTGAACAGATAAGAACTACAAAACAAGGAACTCTTGGGAAAGTAATTAAGAACCACACAAAAAAGTGTTTGTCTGACATAACAGAGCTTTCTCTTTCAGGACTGGCTCTGATGAAGCTGAGCTACGCCTGCAGATGCAATTAGACACTGACAATGGAGTACTCATTTTGACATGGAGTATTCATGCTCTCCCTTCTTGCTGGCCTCAGCAGGTCTGCATGAGGCATTTTAGATTCCCAAAGCAACAAATAAATACTCTTTTGGTACAATAAAATGCTCTGATAACTAGTCCATTTAGCAGTACACATTAGAGGGTGAAATATCCAAGACTTGTGATTGTGGCCAATAGGCACCTGCTGCTACTGCTATTCATGAGTTTAGCTGAGGTCTTTTAGTTCTCCAGTAATCCTGTAATTGTGAATCATTTTTCTGGGTGGTTTATGTTTAAGTGTCAGATGACAGTTCTTAACCTCAGAGTTTTTGGGGAGAGGAGTGGGACTATAAAGCACTGTTAATAAAGCATTTTCTCTTCTCAATGCAGGAAAAAGCACTGCCAGTACTTCAGAGGCAGTAAAAGCTCAGAATTCCTAGGATCTCTGGTACTCTGATCTACTAATATCTAGATAATTAAGGCATTTCTGGGATTTCTTAGCAGAGGGTGTGTGGAGAGGTGGAGCTGAAAATGGCAAGTCTGACCTTGCCCAACTAATCAGGAATGGGGCTGCACACTGTGGGGGTCAGTAGGGGCTTGAGGATCTCTCTTGAACTGGAAAACTTCCCTGGAGCAAAGTCCTAACACGAGGCCACTGGAATGAACATGGCCCCAAGGGAGGTGAGGGAATTAGTAAATCCCCAAAAGGACTTTTGTTCTTGAAAGGAGCTAATCTGTACAAAAAGTTTTTAGTTTCCTCTCCTACAGTCAGTGAGAGCTCAAAGTACTCTTGGCAACAAAGCCTAAAAACAGCTTTCTTGGCAGTCCTGTAGGACCAATCAATATTTTGATGATAGTTTAGATAGGGGAAACACGCTTCTTCATTTGAGAGAAGAAAGACAACAGCCTTCTCCAGGCTAGATCCAAATTTACAAGTAAGAGTTGACATTTAGACTATCTTGAACTTTTTGTTTCCAGAATCATGATGGTTTTTAGGCTACCAGTAGCCATTACAAATTCTGTTATCAAGCAGCTTGCAAAATGGCGTATGCCTATAATACCACTGTGCTAGGGGATTTGGAGTTTGCAGTCAGCCTGGGCTCCTTAGCAAGCTCAAGCTACAGAGAGACCCTATTTTAAAATAATCAAGGGCTAAGTATGTAGCCCAGTGATAGAATACTTTCCTACAAGGCCCTTAGTTCAATTCCAGTGCTTCAAATCAACCAACCAACCAACACACACAGTGGTTATATGTTCTAAAGTCAGATAGATTTGGTTGAAGTCTTAATCTGTTTCTGATATATAAAATGGAATACCAGAGCCTATTTAATAAAGTTGGTTGTTAATCTGCTCATGCTTTCCGTCATTCATATCCCCAACTGTTTACCCAATAAATTCAACTTCTGCATCTCTGTACCTAACATTATCTAAGGTGTGGGAATACATGATAGATAATAAATGGCCCTTACTTTCATTGTGATGAGTCAGAAATAATTATAAAATTAACTACTTAGGGTTTTAAAAAATGCAATGTGTGCTATGCAGCAGAAATCAGGAGACTATATATAGTACTTGCACAAGGCTTCAGTTTGATCTCCAGTATCTCAAAATAAAAAGGTCAAAGTCAAGTTGTTAAGATTAAATAAAGTAGTTAGGTGACCACGGCTCACTCCTGTAATCCTGTTACTCAGGAGGCTGAGAACTTAAACCAGCCTGGGTAGGAAAGTCTGTGAGACTCTAATCTCCAATTAAACATCAAAAAAGCTGGAAGTGGAGCTGTGAGAGTGCCTTGAGCTCAGGGATACTGCCAGCGCCCAGCACCAAGATAAATAAATAAAGTGCTTAGCAAAATGCAATTATTAAATAAAGGATATCTAAATCATATTACTTACTTTTTGCTCATATTTAAACCTAATATCAGCTTTAGGCTTTTGAGTAGAATTAAAAAGGTTGAGATGAAACTGTAACCCCTCTGTATATCACCTTTATAATAACCAAAATAAACATAAAAATTAACAACTTGTGGTTGGAGATGGAATGGAGGGAAGAGAATGAGGGAGCAGATGACACTATATGAAAGGAAACATACTCATTAACTGACACATGTAACTATAACCCCTCTATCACCTCTATAATAATAAATTCTAAAAAAAATTAAAATCAAGAAAAAAAAAGGTTAAGATGAGTCCTAACTCTACCTAGAATAGCTCTCCTTCTCTAGTGTCTTAGGATGAGTTGGGTATAAAAACAACAAAACAAAAACACAAATTTCCTCTTAAGAGAAAAACTCTAATTTTTGGCCTGAATTATTTTCATTACGTATTCAAAGAACAATTGTTTATATTAGTTCTTTAGAAGCTAGAAAAAAAAAACACTGTTTTACTTTTTTAATAGTACTCAAGTGGTTACTGTTAGTTCAACAAATGTTTTTCTTTGAGACAAAATAGATTTTTCAAAAAGCTTTTATACAGAGAACTTTTTTTGGGGGGGAGGCAGTCCTGGGGCTTGAACTCTAGACCTGGGCACTGTCCCTGAGCTGCTTTTGCTCAAGGCTAGCGCTCTACCACTTGAACCACAGTGCCACTTCTGGCTTTTTGTGCTTACGTGGTACTGAGGAATAGAAACCAGGGCTTCACAATGCTAGGCAAGCACTCTACCACTAAGTCACATTCCCAGCTCAGAACTTGTCTTTTTATACAATGAACTTTTATACAGAGTTGCTGTCAGATAAGATGCAAAAGTAGTGGTCATCTGGATTACACTAATACATAAAAGCAACATGGCTGACTGATGGAGACCGAGAGATGCCATTCGTTTTGTAACCATGGTAGAAACATGAAACACTGTGAACATTTCTTCATTTATTATTTAAACACATTTCTACTCTAAATGCTCATTTCTACCCTAAATTTCTAAATAGAGTTTCTAAAGTATTTATAATTGTCAGCATACTCTGAAGCTCAGAGTCATAATTTCATTGTGTGATGGTGAGTTTGAGGCCAGCCCAGACAAAGTTAGCAAGAACTTGTCTCTAAAACAAAATACAAAATAAAAGGACTAGAAGTATATGTGTGTGTGTGTGTGTGTGTGTGTGTGTGTGTAGTTCAAGTGGTAGAGCACTTGTTTGGCATGTGTAAGACCCAGAGTTCAATTCCAAGTACCATTAAAAAAAAAAACTGATAAAAGCTGAGCACTGGTCTCATGCTTGTAGTCCTAGCTACTTGGGAGGCTGAAATCTGAGGATTGAGGTTTGAAGTGAGCTGGGGCAGAAAGGTCAGATGGATTCTTTATCTCTGATTAAACACCAAAAAGTCAGAAGTGGAGGTACGACTCAAGTGGCAGAGAACTAGCCTTAAGTAAAAAACTAAGTTCAATCACAGTACTAGCACATACAAAAAAATTTGATAAGCTGGAGTATTGGATCCTAGATCTAGATTCACCCCTATTGATTAAATGAGCAACTTTCAAATTGGTTGAAACACCCAAATATAAAGTAATAAGTTTAACAGATACTATATTTCCCTACGTTTACATTTTTCTCTAACCTCCACTAGAAAAATTTTAGGAATAAGTGAACTGATACCCCAAATTACTTAGTTTCTAAATACAAAAGTAATATAAAGTACAACATAACTTTGTGTGTGTGTGTGTGTGTGTGTGTGTGTGTGTGAGAGAGAGAGAGAGAGAGAGAGAGAGAGAGAGAGAGAGAGAGAGACAGACAGACAGACAGACTCAGATAGAGGCAGAGACAGGTATATTCTGTAGTTTGAAATCAGATCCTTAGCTGGGTGCCAGTGGCTCATGCCTGTAATCCTTGCTACTCAGGAGGCTGAGATCTGAGGATCGCAGTTCAAAGCCAGTCCCAGCAAGAAAGTCCATTAGATTCATGTCCACTAAACCACCAGAAAACTGGAAGTGGCGCTGTGGCTCACACCAGGCCCAGAGTTCAAGCCCCATGACTGACCAAAAAAAGAAAAAAAAAAGAAATCAGATCCTTGCACTTGTTAGGCAAGTGCTTTACCACTCAAGTAATGCCTCTAGCCTTAGAGATGTTCTCTTGTTTCCTAATTTTCCAGAATAAAACATATCTTGACGAATCACGGATCTATAATCTATCTCATAGAACTTGCCTATGTTCAATAGCTGATACTTAATTTAGTCTCATCTCCTAGCAGCTGTGATACTGTGGATTACTGCTAGGAGAAGAACAGTCCGAATTTCCTATTGAATTACTTTAAGTGAAGCAGTTTCTCTTGGCCCAAATCTATTTATTCAATAATAAATAAGATGTGTGTGTTTCTCCACAAATGTGTGAAAAGCTATACTAGCAACCAAAACAAAACAAAAAACTGGAAAAACGTGATGATTACCTCAAACTTTATAAGCACCAATCATAAATA